GAAAGGTGAAAGAGAAGTATAACTTGACTGTCATTGAAGATGTCTATAACTGAGGTACGAGAAATGGCAAATAATTAACATGGGAAGCTTGTGATTCAAACAAGTCTTGGTGGACATAATATTCCTCGTACTGACTGCAAGTGCTAGTGATATAGAGATCAAAAACACGAAACGCGTTCTGCAGCCAATGTTCGTGAAGACTGTTATGTCTCTTATCAATGCCTATTGCTTTTGAGGGAGTGGCTCGTCTCTCAAAGGTAATCTTACGTTGAGCCTTGATGTTATACATCCTACGCATGTCCTGGGCCGGACGACCTAAGCCTTCAACAGTCAACAACTACGAACATTCACATTCCTTATCATGTGATCACTTTCTGTTCTTGGACATTGCTTCGATTCATAGCAGAATCTCTAGGAATTGAATAATGACAGCCATTATAAGACACGACAGTAATTACCTCGACAGGCTTACCAGTACTGCCATTCAAAGCACTGGATATATATACTTCCGAGCTTCCCGGACGCCTGTAACTCACTAGATGCCATCATAACGCATGAAAGACATATTCAGGAATATAAACGAGTAATGTTCACATTTTCATTTCCACAACTTGCCGTCTGTGGAAAAAATTCGTGACCACAATTTGCACACCAATCCTTTGAGACATACAGCCAAGATCCTGGCCTTGAATATTATTGGTTGGAGTAAAGAAGGGGAATTTGATAAGATAGGATTGGACTTCTAATGACGCTAGCCATTGAGTCGATTGAGTCGGAAAATGAATGTTGTTGTGAGTGGATATGAATGTGATCATACATGATCGGCCAGGTATCTTTGACAACCAAAACGCCATGACGCATCTAAGTCCTTCATTCTCTCCCAGCATGACAAGACTTTGTTTTTGAGGGATTCTCGGCATTTATAGATCTGCCAATGACGACTTCTTATTGAGGATGAAACTTCTCACTTAACCTGCAATCAAACTGTCCAAACAGGAAAGAGCTGCAATCTTTGCTATGCATTCAACGCATCCATCGATGAACAATGTTCCAAGCGGAGGCCTACTACACAGAAGCTGACCTCAACACAGAATGTCAGAACTGGTTAAATTCGTGACGGAATACCAATTGCATGCAATATTAAGTCTCTTGTCGCTTGTTTGTGTCAGGAGGTCGGAAGAATGCCGGGACCAATACCAAATGCTGCACCCATCACATGACCTTCAAAATTTCCGCTTTACGCGACTTTTTATCCAGTCGCGGTCAACGCGTCTTCCATCTATCGTCTCCATCTTTCAACAACAGCACAATCTCGATATCTGCCCTCCACACTCTAACGACGTCAATCATGTGTAAGTTTCCCCGCGCATCACTCCAAAACTCAAAACTGACTTGTACCTAGCGAACAGCTACGGATACCAAAATAATTATTCAACCACCAGTTACGGCGCACAAGGCGGGGCAGATGGTGGTGGATTTGTTCAAGGAGGATACGGTGGATCGCAGGGAGGAAGCCAAGAAAGTCCTGGAGGATCAAAGGTATGTCTTGCTACTTATGAAGTCATATGAATATGCTAATGAGACATTTAGACATATGGTAAAGATACATTGCGACCAGTAACCATCAAGCAAATCCTCGAGGCCGTGCAACCACATCCCGATGCAGATTTCAAAATCGATGGATCGGAAGTAACTCAAGTAGGTATATTCCTTTCTATTATACTATGCATTGCCACTATCTATCACCAGACAAGCATATTAACTTCTCAACCATTAGCTCTCATTCGTTGGCCAAGTCCACTCCATCTCCACCCAAGCCACAAACAACACCTACAAAGTCGACGACGGCACCGGTCTCATCGAAGTAAAACAATGGATCGACAACGACGCTGCTCCCGAAAACGCAAGAGCTGTGCCGGAAGAAGGAAAATACATACACGTATGGGGAAGACTCAAGTCTTTCCATGACAAACGTCATGTAGGAGCTCATATTATCCGACCCGTTCTCGATATGAACGAAGTGACATTCCATGGATTAGAAGCTACTCTGGCACATTTATATTTCACTCGCGGTCCCATCGATACAGCAGGTGCTATGACAAAGAAAGAGGGAGGTGATGGAATGTTTGTCGATTCGTATGGTGGCAATAACATGGGAGCCGGGGATGCGTCTACAGGTGGTGGTAAAATATTACCTGCGAAGGTATCTCGCAATTCCAGAATTGTTTTCGATCTATTACAGTCAGAGCCCCAGAACAATGAGGGTTTGAATGTAAATATGATTGCGACCAAGCTTGGTATGCCAGTTGCAGATGTCTACAAGTGCGGAGATGAGTTGTTGGCGGAGGGTTGTATCTACACGACGGTTGATGATGAGACGTGGGCTGTGTTAGAGTACTAGAGGATGGGAGATTGTAGCATCAATGGCGTTGTAGGATGGGATTATGGCATCTATGTAAAAGTAATGGCTGCATATGAATGAAGTATGGTTCTATGAGAAGATATACCAAATGAGATTCTTAGATTGCTAGAATTAGGTAAAAAAAAATGATGATATCGTTATATTATCCAATATCGGAATAGATAACAATTAAGACTAACGCTTGCTTGAGTGCTTCAAAAGGCGCGGATTTGTTTATGCATAAGCTTTACCCAAAGATAGACATATCCGATAAACCACAAAATCTTCAAGAGCAATCATGGAAGCTTAAAAGCGTCAATTTGATAAGGAAAATAGATATCAGAAGCAGAACTCAAATCGCAATGACACCACCTACTCAATCATCTCAACATTGACACCCTCCTTTCCCTCGACAGTCTCTCCCACAAATTTCGGTTCCCTGACCATAATCTGCATCTTAACCGGCTTGACCCCTCTTTCCATCACAATATCCTGCTTCCACTCGAAACCCAACTTACGATAGTAGCTCAGATTTTTCTCGGCACTAGACTCCAGATACGTGGGACGGTTTTCACGGTCCGCTCGATCAGTCATATGTTGGATTAATTTCTTCGCGTATCCTTTTCCTCGAGCGCTAGGTTTACTACCGAGATAAACGAGGTAGTAGAAATTGTTATTGCGCTCGCCCATGACGTCGTCGATCGTATGGTGGAGGAGGGGCAGAAATTCACCATAGAAACGTTTGCGGCCTTCCACGGAGAGCCTGAAGTAGAGTTTCCAGAGACCGCTGCGGAAGAAGGTAAGCCAATCGTCCATGTCTTGACCGGGAGGCATCCTATTGGTTTGTTAATTCGTTATTCAGAAAATGTGGATCCCAGTAGACGTACCATAGAGCGACTGCATCGTAGTTTGGACCAATGGTAGTCACTATGCCTTTGTAGCAATGAGCAGCGGTCATGTACTTGATTATATCACAATGAAGTTTCCATTTGTAGTCCTCGGAATAAGAAGTCATGTCATCGGTATCAAGGAAGTATCTTGCTACTTCGTCTGTAGCAAAAGCTTGAGCTAGACACTGAGCCGCTCCCTCGCACTCCGAGATGCTTACTACACGGACCTCCTCCGTTGTAGCCGGGGAAAGGCTGCGCTTCTTCTCAAGAAAAGTCATGGTCGTACCATTATCCTCAATAACATGCGCCATGATTGCGATTTGTCAATGATATATCTTGAGACGTTGGAATAATTCTGCAGATTTAACAAGTTAACATGGTATTTGGAGGCATTTGGGAAGGTCAAGAACGAACAAGAATCCGGTTTATTAGCTGGCCTATTCAAATCGCCTGTATGAACTATCGAGAGCTGAGTTCTCGATACTGTTATGTATCGAGATGGGAAACGAAGACAGTTGAGACTCTGGCGGAAATCAACCGACATCAATGTAGATGTTTATCAAACTCGGGTTACTCTTCAGCGGGAAAAGCAGTATGATTCTTCGAGAATCACGCTTCGTCTACAGTGGGTAGATAGACTTTGGTCGTCGATTGTGTAGCTATGGGAATCGTGAGCCGGACAAGTGTTGACTTTGCTAATTCGATCGATACGAGGTGAATTGAGGAGAAAGAATGGAGTTTATGTTTTCTTGTGTTTCCTTGGGAGGCTTAATGATTTATGTTACAGAGAACTTGTGATTGTGATTGTAATTGTCTGCTGAGATGAATTGAAAAGCAAGGGATTCGGAGAAATGGCGATTGGGTTGAGGTTTATGTAGTCATCACTACGAACTCAAAACGTCAAGGTACTCCTCAACGATAACCATGCCACAATTAAACGCTGCATAAGTCCACTTGTATACTAGCACGAGGCCAGCATAAAGATTGAGGGCAACCAACAGGATTGAGTCTGTGAAATCCCTTGGGGCAAGTGTAGCCTGCCGCATGATTCTTGGGAAATTCCATAAGCTGATTGGATTGATATCAACCCTTCAACAATCAATACATGGATACTCTACTTGTTAAGTTTGACAAGGGACGCCATGTGCGATCATCTGGTCCAAAGGGTCTGTGGCTGGACCTCCCAAATCTGGTTAGATATCGGAGTAATCTTTGAAGGGTGTCGCGCCCCGTCCGCCGACTTTGATACGATCCTACTCCACTCCACTGAAGGGAGATAAGATGAACAGCGTGGCTCGAGCGTGGAACAACGACGAAAATAGGAATTGGGTAAGCGAGATAAAGGAAGGGGTGGATGGATAAGACAGATAGATAGTATTAGATCAAGAAAGTAATCATAAGTTAACAGTAGAGTAAAGATAGAAAAGATATTGGGAACATGCAAAAACAGGACGTTTTGCGTTGCATATTGTCAGACACAGTATGTCCAATTGGAAAGAGACTCGGGATTCGCCCGCGTTGATCGTACTAAATGATATTAATTAGGCGTAATCAAGTGATTCGCTTTTCTGTTGGGTGTAAACTTTAGTATCGCGATAAACCTCAATGCCAATATGCAGTATGCATCATGCATGGTAAAATTCTCAGCTCCTCAATAACTCCTCCATATTCATTCATCTTTGATCCGATTTGCTCCAGCAAAATCGTCCTCACATTCTTCTAATATCTTGCTCATTCATATACTTCTCGAGATCGGTATCCTTGTGCTCCCACCATTCGAAAAGGAGAGAGTTACAGATAAGCTTGAACCAAGGTGTAAACTTCAAAGAGGGATCGTTGAACATAGTCTTGAGTCCATCGGCAGAAACGTACTGAGTATCGCGGACTTCGTTCATGTTTGGCTCGAGGTCGACATCGGCGGTAATAAAGAGGATGTAATCGACTAAAAATATTGTCAATCGTTAGCCATTGTACATCATAAGGAATCATAAAAACAGGTTGACATACTTTCATGCTCTCCCCATTTTCCGTCACTGGGTGCTTTGTAATGGATTCTGGTCAAGAATTTGAAGTCCTCGATGGGTACCTGCGCAGGCTTGATACCAAGTTCGTGCTCAAGCTTTCGTTGTGCTGCTCTCTTAACTCCCATGATAGCTTCAGTCAACTCAGAACCACCTTCACCAGGTATACCAAGGGGATGGGAGCAGCAGGTGTTAGTCCACATATCAGGGAATGTGATCTTTTCGGTCGCACGTTGTTGAAGGAGTAATTCATTCTTGGAGTTGAAAAGAAAGACGGAGAATGCGCGATGAAGGAGGCCTTTGTCAATGTTTGTCATGAGATGACCTAGAGTGATCAGTATATAAGTAGCGGACAAATACTTGTTTCTCTTCTCTTACATATCTTCTTGCTGAAGTTCCCAATAGGCTTATCATTTTCGTCTAGGACAATGCAGACTTCATCCATCAATCTGATCTGCTCTTCATCGTGACCTTCGAGTTCTGCAGAGCTCGTGTCAATGTCAGGGAAAAGTCGAAGAATACTCTGAGCAGTAATAGGCTCAGCCTGTGTAATTGAAGTTGTGGTAGACATGGTGGAAATGGAGGGAGGAGAGTGGTGGTCTTGTGGGATTTTGAAAGTCCTTCCTTGGGATTATATTGTTCAGAAATGGCGGAAATGGCTGAAATGGCTCACAGGATTGACAAGGGGAACAGGGACAAAATGCCTCAAGTAATTAAACTGCCGGCGCTATTCCCGCCTGGATAATTGGCCCTGGCCCAAGCCCAACCTTATAAGGTTAAATTCGGCGGGGAAATTTAGTTTGGTCAATGAAGGCTGTCAATAATAAAGTTTGACACCTCAGGCAATTAGAGGGGCAGAAAAAAAAGTTTGTTTGAATTTTGGTCGGCTCGGGAACCGAGAGAAATTCGAATCTCCAAGTACCTACCTACCTACGAGTACATCGATATCATCTGGGGAACAAGACCTCGTATTCTGTCTCTCAACACAAGTTAGTCAATTCAATTCAACCCAACCCAACCCAATAGCATATCTTATCACCCTGCTCTACATTCGAAATACCAATATGGGAAAAGCTTCTAGAAATAGGACCAAGCATCGCGCTGATCCTACTGCAAAATCCATCAAGCCACCCACTGACCCAGAGCTTGCAGCTATTCGAGAGAGCAAAATTCTACCAGTTCTCCAAGATCTACAAAGTGCAGACCAATTGAAGAGATCAACCGCCGCGACTGCAATTGCGAACCTCGTTGACGATACAAAATGTCGAAAGTTATTTTTGCGAGAGCAGATTGTTCGAATTCTGCTCGAACAAACCCTCACAGACTCGAGCATGGAGACTAGAATCGCAGGATGGGGAATCATGAGAAATCTAGCCTTAGAAGAGGAAGCGGACTTTTGTGTGCATTTATATAGACAGGATATTCTAACTGCAATTGAGGGAGCTGTCAAATCTGTAAGCAGTCACAGCAATCCCATTCTCTCATCACTACTCTAACAAAAGTAGATTATCGAAACGATCGATTCAAAAGACACTCCGCTCTCGAAAATACCACAATCTCAACAGGACCTCTTGTGGAGTCTTACAAGTTCTGTAATAACACTGTTAACCTCCCTGTCTGAAGCCGAGATTGAGATTGTCGAAGCCATATCAAAACTATCTACAATTATCAACTTTTTGTTTGGATTGTTGTCGCTCGAAGCAACTCCATTGGAGATCAATAATGAAGTACTGTCATGTTTAGCAGCTTTAACAGAAGACAATAAGACCTTGGTCGAATTCATTACAGAGCAGAAGGATTGGTTCAAACTACTGATGCAATTGAAGAATTCCGGTGGATTCAAAGGCGTTGCTACTTGTGGAGTACTTCATAACATCTTTACAGCAATGAATTGGGTCGATGACAATGCTCCCATGGATGGCGCCTCGGATGCTATTCTTCTCCCGACTTTGATCGAGTCAATGCAACAAGCACAACAGACAAATGCTGCCAATGGTACAAACGGCCACACGACAAATTCTAGCCCCGAACGAGTCTTGCAAATGGCCTTGGAAATTACTGCATCGATTGCAACTAGCCTTCAAGAAGCTCTTGAACTTGGAAACGGAAAGGAGGAAGTGTTTGAAGGATTTGGAGATGACGAGGAAGTGGATGAAGACCAGATGGTTGACGGTGATGCAGATTTGTCGGAAGGTGAAGAAAGTGACTTGAGTGACGGAGAGAACGAAATGACACAGGAGGATATCGAGGCCGACATGGATATGGTCCTGGGAGATGACCCAGAAGATGAGGAGACGTCTAATGATCAAGATACACTCCATCAACTTGTTCAGGTCGCTTGTCCTGCCGTTATAGCTCTTACACAACTATCCGAGGACTCAAAAATGGAGGGTGATGATGTACAAACTCCTGCTCTGGCAGCTCTAAACAACATCGCATGGACCGTCTCCTCCATTGACTTTTCCAAGAGCCATCTTGGTAGCTTGCAAAAGTCATGGGCTGGCCTTGCCCAGCGTATATGGGACGAGGTCGTGTGTCGTGTACTTGCATCCAACACGGCAAACGTTGAACTGGCCGCCTCTATTACAAGTATTGCCTGGGCTGTTTGTAAGAGTGTTCAGGGACGTGTTCAAATACGAGCAGATGAGCACAGAAAGTTTATGGCTCTCTACCATGCTTCGAAGGGCTTCGAAACCCCAAGTGACTCCAAGGCTTCTAAGAAAGACGCAGAAAATCTTGATGATTCAGCTTTTCAGTCTTTGGGGGTCAAATGTATTGGCGTGTTAGGTAGTCTTGCCCTCGAGCCCACACCTATCGAACTTAATCGAGAAATTGGCATTTTCCTAGTCACTCTCATTGCAGGCGTTCCCGAAACCCCTGCGGCTCATGCGGTGGAAGCCTTGAACGAGATTTTCGATATTTATGCCGACAAAAGTTATTCATTTGACCAGTCAGTTTTCTGGGAAAGTGGATTCGACAAACACTTGGAGGAAAGTTTGCCTAAGTGCAAGAAGATGGCTAAATCAATTGACAAGAGAAAGTCACCAGAGCTTCGTTCGAGGATTGATGAAGCAGTATTGAATCTAGCGAGGTTCTTGAAGTACAAGAGAACAGAAACGTCGAGCTAGGGTGTAGATGACGGGATATAAAAACCAGGATAGTCAAGCTACGACATAAAGAATATTTCTCTATATGCTAGATTAATCTCACAATGATACCACAATGATACCACAAGTCCTTTCAATTTGTTCGCTCAGTGAGACAGGGTTTTAAAACAACAATCTATGGTTTTGCTTATTTATTCAAATATCGAGGCTTGATCAAGATTTTGACGTCAACAATAAAGAATTATTATGGAGACAAATTAGGCGCAGGGCTTACTCGTCCAGCATCATCAAGGCGGGCTGTGCATGGAAGCTTTAGAATGGCCCTACCCGTTTCCCGTTTCACTTCAACAAACTTCCGACTTCCCCGTTTCTGCAACTCTGCATTGAACCAACATATCCATGGAAACTCATGGGCATCGGCGCATAACATCATTTTCGTAGATTGTTTTGTCAACAATGCTAATTGTCGAAATAGGAATATCGCCATTACATGGTGCGCATCAGTGCGCCCCAGACTGCGGCTCAGCCAATCCCATCTCACCCCTGTCTGAATGGGGGCCAAAGTTGAAGAAAGGACATCATTACGGCCGCCATAATCATCAACCCTCATGCAAATTTTCAACAAGCCACTGTCAGCCTCGCGAAGGAGAGCTCCCCTTGTGCAATGTTCGGCTTGATATATGATCAGCCACTTTTAGTTGTTCCGTGTAAGATGTGCTTGACACTCCGTGGCTTGATACAGTATGTTTGCTCCAACTTCTCAGCCTCGGTGGCAAATGTTCGAAGAAATGAATCTGTGATGAAGTTGGATGTGATGAAATTGGGAAAAGAAGCAAAGCAGCGGTTTTAAGCATACAGTGTGTAGGCCGGAGCGAGCCTAACGCGATCCCTGTCCGGCTGGACTGAACACATTGTGAAGGCACAAGTACCAGCATGAACATGCAAAAACGTCCCAGTGTATCGGTAATGGAGGCGTTGTATTGTCGATGGTAAGGCAATGCTGTGTAATGAGCCATTTTTCCAACCGGTTCTCTCCTTCTGTCTGCAGAAATACTGTGGGGAGAATTCATGCATATGATATGTAATATGTGAACGAATTTAAGAACTTTGTATAAGTAAGATCGTCATCTCGCCTATCGGGACTCTGCTTTCATTTGCTTGTACTTCTTAGTCTTGTTCTAGCTGGGTTAAGCATCTGAGCTACTTGGATGCGTATACATGCGTTTACGAAGCGGATTGGATAAGTCTAGCGAGCGAGATAGTCGGGGTCAGCCTGCTCAAGCCGCAATTGTCGGTATGGAGGAACATCATTTTACAGATTCTGGCTCAACTGGCGCAGATGTTGGTTCGTCAAGGCGAGTTCTTCTACTTTTCTTTTATGCTCTAGTTGCTTGCGAAAATGATGAATTAGGCTAACCGCGTGCTGTGAAGTAGTGGATCGCCATCTGAACCCGACACTCAGAACTGTGATACTTCCAATAGACAGCAGGCACAAGGCACAATCTTTTCTATTCAACATGAGGAATATCAAGAGATTCCAATGGCATCATCACATTATGCTCAAAGACCTTGCTCAGCACCACCATCATTTTATGACCCAACTCTCTATCCCGAACCCTCCATTCCTGTATTATATCCTACTACATCTGCATCATACTTACAGCCTTCTACAACCACAACTGCCTCTCAACTTCAACCTCAACTTCAACTTCAACATCACTATCCACCCTATATGCCATCTCACATAAATGCACCTCAGCCTGAGTCTATCTACACCTCCGCACCTTCATACCCCCACCCACCACCACCACCAGCTCCTACACCACCACCGCCTCCCCCACACTCTCGTCATTTTGACCCCTCTCAACATTATCCCCAAGCTCATCTACCATACCACCAAGCCCAAAACCAATACCACACCCCTCTCACCCAACCTCAACCTCAAACACCCCACCTCCCATCCATCAGACCAAACTTTTCTCCTCTTCCCACTTCCCAAACTCAACTCCAGACTCACCAACCACATTACCAATCCCAAGAAAGTCCCTGGTCTCCACTTTCTGCGCATGAATCCCGCAAACGCCGCGCTTCAGATGCGTTGAGTAGTGCCGGATTGGGCGTCGCTGACGCAGATGTGGATTGGGGCTATAAGGATAAGATGGGTCGGGAGCTTGATTCTCTAGAGATGGAAAGTAGAAGTATGAGGAGAAGAGATGAACGGGGTGAAGGTAGCGAGAGGGGAAATGTACCAGGAAGTAGCAGAAGAAGTAGAAGAAGATTGAATGATGAAGATGTAGGGAATGGAAGTTCGGGACGAAGACAAAGAGGAAGAGATGAAGATGAAGATGAAGATGAGAATGAAGTTGGGTACGAAGCAAGAATGGCGCGAGGGGAAGGGGATGAAAGTGATCGAGGAAATGGGCACGCGTATTCTTGAGAATGGAAGCTCCCGACAAGTTCAATTTGGATGGATGACTACATCTACACGATTTTTCTATTGTCTATTTGGATACGATATTTCTCTCTCTCATTTTCGAGCATTGGTTTCTCATTTCATTATCGTTTGCAATCTTCTATCTCATAATTTCTTTGGATATTTATAGAGGTTCAGCAGTACTCATGTTTCACAAGAAGGATTTGAAGGATTTGGCAATTTTTGTGTAGTTTTCCTACAGAGTCAATGTGTTTGTTATGCGAAATTTCGAGTTTTTTCTTGATCGAGTTATTATTTTGTATTGGTAGATGTTCAGAGAATAGGAAAATCGATATTTAACATTAGGATTGAATGAATTGGTCAATGTATACATATATTGATGTGGATTAGATGCTAAGTGTGTTTTGTATATTCCCCAAAAGTAGAGGATATTTGACACAAATTTCGACATGGCAAGAAATGATCCTTTGATCTGGAAATGTGATCAGAGAAGATAGAGATCTAATGCCACTTGCAATCTTGTATGTAGCCATACTATACGAAAGCGAGACCGACTACCAGCCATGTAAACTATGAAAACTCGTATAGTACAAAGTTATTATGAATTGCTTACTATATGTATGTATTGCACCTTCCCGCCTACTGGCTGCATGACGCCCCAATGGGTCGCAGTTTGTATGACCATAAGCTTTGAATAAGAATAAGCATCTTGTTCCTTCTGCAGTCACTTGATGCGCGACCAAGTTCTCACCCTCATCCACATTTTTTACATTGGCACAAAAGTCGCAGTAAATGATACAAACGGGGCGGAGAACACCCATTTATATTTCTCTAAACAATACACTGCATACGCTATATTACTAATATTTACCCTTCTTTGATGGTCTAGCATTCTTTGCTTTCCTCCTCTCCTGTAACTTTCTATCCTTTCGAATATCCTCCGTACTCTTAATCTCCGACTTTCCACTACCATCTTTGAATGAGCCAACTCTCTTTTCCTTTGCCTCAGCAACTCTCTTCTTCCTGACATGGTAATCATCACGATATTTATCAGCTTCCTTTGGTGCTCTCTCTTGCTTGTGCTTGTATCTTGTACCGAAGCCTCGTCCAACTCCACCAGCACTGGCAGGGCCCTCGCGTTCTGCTTCACCTGTTCGAGGCATACGATCGACCTTGTGTGCTTTACGCCATCTATCGAATCGACCACTTTGGAAACTAGCTGCAATCTTTTGACCACTCTCTCCACGAATGTATTTGGTTCCTTTAGATCCATCCTCATCGTTGGCTCGAGCGACATATTTACTATTCTTTTTATCCCATCTCATTCCCTTTGCTCTAGCGGGCTCGGCAAAGGATTTCGCCCCGTCATCATTAGTGAGGTCCATAGTAACTCCTCTAGCTGCCTCGACGAAATTTGAGTTTTGAGATGCTGTGTTGTATGAACCAGAATGAACACCATATCCACGTTCTTCTGCAGTATTGATAGTTTTTGGCGTATATGACATGAAATTTTCGGAGTCTTTCCAAGATAGCGTTCGTCCTTTGCCTTTTTGTGATGCTTTCGAGAAGGTAACTTCAAGCTCATTTTCCGATGCCTCGGCCATATCGTCATCTCCTCCAGTGACTGTGACCTCAAGATCATCATCATCACCATCGTCGCCATCTACCTCCATAGGCGTATCGTTATCTAATTCTTCTGCTGCTGCTGCTGCCTTTTCATCCTCCTCCTTCTGTCGTCTTGGAATGATTTTCTCCCTTCGGTGTCGCATGATTTCAGCAGCCTCGCTGTGAGCAGCTTTACCCTTCTGCCCGATCTCAAAGACAGTTTCATTGGGTCGGAATCCACTGATCTTTGCAAGCATATCCAATCGAGCTTGTTCGGCACCATTTGTCACATCCTTGAAGAGTGGGTGTAGTTCCATCCACCCTTTTGATGCTACTACTTCTTTGGCTCTCTTTGCACTCTCACTTGATGCCGAGTTACGGGTCTTAACGTAGAGCTTTTCTCCCTTAGCTGATACATTTCGCAACGCGGTAAGATCGTCGTCATCATAGAGAAGTTTCGTGATCCATTCCGACTTGCTTTCTATCTCATTTCTCTGCAGAGCACCAACAATTACATCTTCAGCGTAGTTTGGTGAGTCGCCACATTCACGTCCAAGAAGTAATCTCCTTCCTAGAAATAGCTGTAGATCGAGAAGATATGGCGCATCAGTATCTCTAACCAAACTGTAACTCCAACCCCGTTGACCAGCTCTTGCAGTACGACCGACCCGATGAACAAAAACCTTTGGTTGTGGTGGAAAGTCATAATTAATGACATTTGCTAGGACAGGAATATCAATACCTCTAGCTGCGACATCAGTAACTACTAATATATTTGATTTCCCAGTACGGAAATCCTCAACCTGGATATTTCTAGCGGTTTGATCGAGTGAACCATAGGCATGAGAAACAGCGAATCCAGACATACGAAGTAGAGAAGCGAGATAGTCGACATGATGCTTCGTAGCTGCGAATATGATTGTTGAATGCTCCGTGGGCTTTAGTTTCCTACTTGGGCCATCGGGACCTCTCTTGCGCTTCTTATCAAACCTGTCTGTTGCATTTAGTGCATTCTCGGGTAGACCTGTGGGCATTTTGACCAAATCTTGGAGGATGTGCAATAGAGCACCTTCTTTTTCAGCACCTTTAACACTGAAAAATGCACTCTGGAGATCCGGGGAAACTTTGCTCTCTGCATCGAGACGAACCAAACTTGGCTCTTGAAGACCAGCTCTGGCAAATTCCACCAGTGACTTTGGTAAGGTTGCAGAGAACAATAAAGTTTGCCTTGAAATTGGCAAGGCGTGAAGAATTTCTCCCAATTGAGCAGCGAAACCCATTTCGAACAGACGATCGGCTTCATCAAAAACAACATATTTCATCGACGATAAATCCAAAGACATTTCAACCTTCAGATGTAAAAATCGACCAGGCGTAGCAATAACAATATCAGGATTTCCGGCCATAAATCCGAATTGTTCTTCGAGACTGTCACCTCCAACAAGTAGTACACATTTAAGGTCAGTTCCTCGTCCAAATTCCTTAACAACTTTCAATGTTTGTAAGGCCAATTCTCGAGATGGAGACATAATTAAGGCTCTTGCACCAACACGCACACTGTGAGCTCTCAACTTTTCAATCATTGGAATGACGAAGGCAGCAGTTTTTCCGGAACCAGTTCTAGCCATACCAACAACATCTTGATTATCGAGGACTAAGGGTATCGTTTTTCGTTGAATAGGTGTAGGTACATTGAATCCTTTTCTACTAATTGCCTTTAACAAATGAGAATTCAATCCTTGGTTGAAAATTAGTACATTTGCGCAAAATACAAGGAGAGGAATTTCATACCCATTGCTTGAAATCCACCGCCCTTCTTGACACTCTGCCCTTTCAAATTTGAATTCTTTCGGTTGGCAGCTGATTGCTGTGCCGATATAAAAGCTCCATCGCCATCTCCATCACTCTCAAGTCCCAGATCCAGTATACCATTAGCATCCAGAGGCTCTACATTTTTAGTAGTTGTATTTCCGAAATTATCGTCATCTCCGTCTATATCGTCATTGAAGAGAGATTTTGTGATATCAAAATCATTCTCCGAAAGCGCGGGGGATGCTGCACGACGAGGCATTTTGAGAGTCGTATTTTTCCACAGCGCGCGCAAATAGCAGCATCAAAGCATTGAAGATATCCAAAATCTTATCAGTTCAACTTTTTTTCTGATATGGCCCGTGCATGATTTCACCGCCTTCGTTAGCGCAAAACCTTAAATTTTGGAGGCAGATTGGAAAAATATATTCGAAATATTTTGGACCTTGAGCGATCAATTGATATTGTACATAATATTTGAGAATCATGGCACCACCAGCTTCCGGGCGCAAGTCCAAGAATGTTAGCAAGGGTAAAAATGATGCGAAAACTTTGAAAAGGAAAAGAGATATAGAAGATCATGAAAAGCTTCAGAAATCAGTGGATGAGCTTGTAAGTGCAGCAATACCTTCCTTATCGACATTTACTGACTCTCTCAGGATGCGAAAGCAGAAATCAAAAACTTCTCTGAACTTCCCCTGTCTGAACCTACATCATCTGGACTCGAAGCATCTCATTTCAAAACTTTGACGGACGTTCAATCGAAAGCTGTTCCTCTTGCGCTCAAGGGAAAAGATATTCTGGGCGCTGCGAAAACTGGTAGTGGAAAGACTCTTGCATTTTTAGTACCGGTATTGGAGAACCTTTACAGACAGAAATGGACAGAACTAGATGGCCTCGGTGCTCTCATTATATCTCCAACTCGTGAATTGGCCATACAAATCTTCGAGGTTTTGCGAAAAATCGGACGATACCACACCTTCTCGGCAGGATTGATCATTGGAGGTCGGAGTCTGCAAGAGGAGAGGGACCGTTTAGGGAGGATGAATATACTTGTGTGTACACCTGGGCGCATGCTACAACATATGGACCAAACGGCTGCATTCGATGTTGATAATCTACAAATGTTGGTCCTAGATGAGGCGGATCGAATCATGGATATGGGATTTCAAACATCTGTTGACGCTATACTGGAACATTTACCGAAACAACGGCAGACGATGCTATTTAGTGCCACACAAACGAAGAAAGTCTCAGATCTAGCAAGATTGAGTTTGAAGGAACCCGAATATGTCGCAGTACATGAAGCAGCATCCTCAGCCACCCCCACTACATTACAACAACATTACTGCGTGGTGCCTTTACCCTGCAAAGCTCAAACACGCTATTTGGCTTCATTAGAGCTAACCTAAAGGCTAAAATAATAGTATTTATGTCTTCAGGCAAGCAAGTGCGTTTTGTCTACGAAAGTCTAAGACATTTACAACCTGGTATTCCATTGCTTCATCTCCACGGTAGGCAAAAGCAAACCGCAAGGCTTGACATAACTTCAAAGTTCTCTTCATCGAAAAACTCATGTATATTTGCGACAGATGTTGTTGCAAGAGGTCTTGACTTTCCTGCCGTCGATTGGGTGATTCAATTAGATTGCCCCGAGGATGCTGATACCTATATTCACAGAGTTGGTCGAACTGCACGTTATGGAAAAGTAGGCCGGGCAGTCATCTTTCTGGATCCATCTGAGGAAGACGGCATGCTGAAACGATTGGAACATAAGAAAGTGCCGATACAAAAGATTAATATTCGACCGAACAAGACGCAAGACATCAAAAATCAATTACAGAATATGTGTTTCCAGGACCCTGAGTTGAAATACCTAGGTCAGAAAGCATTTGTCAGTTATGCCAAATCCATCTTCTTACAAAAAGACAAGGAGATTTTCAACATCAATCAGGTTGATTTGGAGGGCTTTGCTTCGAGTATGGGTCTTCCCGGTGCGCCAAAGATTAAATTTCAGAAAGGAAACGATGCAAAGAATGTCAAAAATGCTCCAAGAGGTGCTATTGAGTCTAGCGATGACGACAGCGAAACCGAGAAGAAACCTAAAAAGAAAGAAGAAGTCCGAACGAAATACGATAGAATGTTTGAGCGTCGTAACCAGGATGTTTTGTCTGGTCATTACTCCAAGATGATCGCAGATGATACCCCTGTGAAGGATGTAGATGGTACCGCGGACGCTGATGAGGATAATGACTTCTTGTCAGTCAAGAGAGTAATACCTGTGGGTAATAACGATAGTTCCGACGACGATGATGATGATGATGTTGCTGCGACTGTGCCACTAGGAAAGGTTATCGAGGGTATTAGCAAGGATCCTATTGTGATAGACTCGAAACGAAAAGAGAAACTTCTGAAATCTAAGAAGAAGCTTCTTAAGCTCAAAGATAGAGGAACCAAATTGGTATTCGATGAAGAAGGTAATCCTCATCAAGTATACGAATTGGAAGATGAAGAAGATTTCCGCGCAAGAGGTCCAGCTGAGGAGCAACGAGCTAAGTTCTTGGAAGAAGAAGCCGAAAGAGTTCGTCAAGCAGATCTTCTTGATAAACAAACTGCAAAGGACAAGAAGCGAGAAAAGCGTGAGAAACGTAAAGCGAGAGAAGCCGCATTGGAGGATGACGATGAGGCACCTGAATTGGTTGGTGCTGGAGATGATGAAGATCCTATGGCTCTTCTTAGATCTTTGCCTCTACCGGAAGACGAAGAGGATGAAGATAGTACGGCAAGACCTGCAAAGAGACCTAAGAAATGGTTTGAGGATGATTCAGATGATGAGAGAAAGGTTGCTAAGAGAAAGAGTCGTGTTATTGAAGCTGCCGATGAACCTGAGACACTGGAAGATTTGGAGGCTTTGGCTGCTGGTCTTCTTAACTAATTTTGGCATTGGGAATAGGAGTAACATAAAATGTAAAAATAGCGTTGATGATCAGATCAGAATTGAATCTTTATATACCCTTTTTGAATTTCTTGCCCAATTGTTTGTTCTGGAGTCAAATATTTACATGTTCATTTCATGATATTGCAAATCAAGACCCCTAATCCATAACCCATCTCACCGAATCTTGGCTAAAACTACCCCTCCAACCTAACCCCCACATTCCAACAAGTAATCACAGCTCATGCTACCACGATTGGTCCGTCGGCCCATGTGAAGCTTACCTCACATTTTTATGGAGCCCCGAAGCCAATTCGACTCGGAGGTAATCCGATGGCGCGCGACCCTCCCACCCTCAAGTTGTACAGAACTTCTTTTTCTTTCTTTCTTGCTTTGCTTTTAATTATTTTTTATGCCAGAGAGAGTTCTTGATTGAGAGATAGATGGGTTACTAAAGGATAGATAATGATATGAGAGGATTACGCGATATGCAGGACAGAGATGAGAATCATATTGAAATGCAATGGCAGGCTGCTTGCGCTGAGAAAGGGGACCCGGATACGGATGCAAATGCTGCGAATTTTGGAGTGCGAGAAAGGGAGGATGGGGTTGGGGATATAGATCAAGTGGGCAATCTGCTAGAGAGATGCGATGAGGTGGCGGGGAAAGTAAATGGGTTTCTGGAAGAACAGTTGGGAGAGGACGAGGAGGTATTGAGGGGGGTGCAGGAACAGACGAGGATTGCGCTGGGAGTTATTAGGGAGTGTTTGGAGAGATATAGGTATGTTTCTGTGAGGGGATTCTGCGATTGTGTGCGAGGGATGGAATGGAGTATTAAGTACCTATGGAAACTATGCTAACATGTGAGAATCCTCATAGTCTAGAAGAAATATCATTTTCCTACAACGGCGGAAAAGATTGTCTCGTTCTACTGATTCTCCTCCTCGCCGCGCTCTCCAATCACCAATCCTCTTTTTCATCCTCATCCTCATCCTCATCCTCGAAACCCAAACCGAAACCCCTCCCCCTCGCTCTCCCTTCCGTTTACATCCTCTCCCCGCATCCCTTCCCCGAAGTCGACACCTTTGTCGCCTCGTCTTCCGCACACTACCATCTACAACTCTCGCGCTATGCGTCGCCGATGAAAGAAGCATTCACGCAATACTTACACGATCACCCGGTTGTGAAGGCGATTTTGGTGGGCACCAGAAGGACAGATCCGCATGGTGCGGATTTGACGCATTTTGATTTGACGGATGGGGGATGGCCGCGGTTTATGAGGGTGCATCCGGTGATTGATTGGCATTATCGGGAGATATGGGGGGTGAGTTATGATTATTATTATTATTAGTGCTTGGGGGTTCCCTGCTTCTTGCTCAAGTCACTTTCTTTTCCCTCTTCTTTTAATCTCTTCCGAGGAGCTTATTCTCAGATCTGGAACTTTGGAAGTCTACCAAGCAGCAACTACTCATAACGAAATACTAACACAAACCCCCTACAGTTCATCCGCCACCTCAAGATCCCCTACTGTCCGCTCTACGATCAAGGCTACACCTCATTAGGAGGCACAACCGATACGCATCCGAATCCCGTACTAGTTGCCGAGGATAGCAAGGGCGAAGGAGAAGGAGAAATAAAATTTCGACCCGCGTATGAATTGGTGGAGGATGAGGAGGAGAGATTGGGGAGAGATTATTAGGGGAGGAGGATGTGAAAAGCCAGAAGCGAAAAGCGAAAAAGGCATAGGAAGAAGAGTCATTGGGGGGTAGAGGGAATACTTAAATACTACATAGAGAGGAAATATATGGGATGCGGGAAAGAGAGAGAGAGAAAGAAAGAAAGAAGAGGAATGATGATGCATATGCATGATACCACTAAAGACGAGAAACGTCTTCACTTCATGAAGAAGATTCAAGAGAATACAGAATACAGATATATTGAACAGGATGGCATAATGTACAGTATAGTATAGAGCAATGAATCTTTACATATTTTATGTATAATTGATTAGTTGATTTTTGGATGTAGGGATATGAATATGGATGTGGATGTGAATATGAATGTAGATATAGATACAGATATAGATACAGATATAGATATACATTGTTTGGGAAGTCATGTATACCTAGTCTCTCCTCCTTTTTCCTTTTCTTTTTTCCTCTTTACTTTCTTTACTTCCCGAGGTCTCGAGGTCTCGAAAGATGGATGGATTCTCAGATGAGTTTTATCACAAAGTATTACCTATGGTGAGATTCTACACTTGTACACATACACATTACATTACATCACATTACATCGCAAATCACATCGCAAATCACATCACATCACACCACACAACCAAAAACCACCGCCAAAAATTCCAAAAAAATACACAATTTCCATCTTCATTACCTAACCAAACCCGAGTTACAACTGTCTGCATACCAAACACACAAACACACAAACACACAAACAGACAGACAGACAGACAGACAGGTACGAAGTTCCATTTAATAGTAAGTACAGTGTGTGCACACCCTAAATCAAGGGGTATGTATGTATGTATGGATGGATGGATCCTCATACGCCAATCTCCATCCCAAAGTGTCCAAGATGCCACTCCATGTCCGTACAATCCAGCTTTGTTCATAATATAAGTGATTGCGCGGAACGTAAGATTTTCCTTCCCAGTCCAGTGTCATCCCACCCATTCCATCCATTCCCATTTTACACCATACCATACCATATACACCCCTTCCCAAGTTAAGGTAAAGCCCTCGCCAAACAAAAGCAAATCAAAATTCGATTAAGGGAAGAAAAAAAAACGCCCGATGAATTTATGCATCCTCCACCTCAATCTTCACTAATCCCCGCGTAAATAGTATTTTCATTTGGTCTCACATCTCCATGTAACCTAAGTCTATAAAGACAAGTATAAGGCACCTTACCATCGCCATGATTCCCCTTACTTCTGATCAAGAATTTATTACTAGCAGAAGTATCGTTCTTGATGTTATCATCCGATTCGGTGACAAAATCCCTAAGATCTACTTGTAGCGAAAAAGCTTGAGTGCTTGCACCATAAGCATCATATGTCCAATCGCCCAGCTTTACCCAGCCAGATTCAAGATCATCGTAATTTGCTTCCGGGAAGACATCATCAGAGCGTACTTTGATTTTTGTGAAAGTAGGGGTATGAGGGATATAGGCGAGAAGTTCCATGTGGCTTGGTGCCGAGAGGGGTGAGAGACCTGAATTGGCGTAACCGGTTTGAGGGAAGTGTTCCACAACGACTTGGTCAGGCCAGATATGATTAGCCGTTACGACACCAAGTGTAGGGCCGTTACCATTTTGTTGTGGTGAGCACCAACAATCGCCAATTTCATCCCACGCGGTAAGAGCTGCATCGGCGGAATTGGGGAGGGGGATGGGTTGATTGAAGATCAAGGCAATACTTCTGTGAACAAATCCAAAATCCATATGTGGAAAACGGTAAGAAGGCGAGGTGAGACGAGGAATGACAGCAGAATGGGATCGTTTGGCGAAATGGTCCATACGTCGAAGGGGTCGATCACCCCTTTGGTTGACATTTGCGTCTGACATAGCTTCGATTTGAGCTGTGCTAATTCTAGTAGCAATTGCTCTTACTTGCTCAACGGTGAGAGCATTCTTCCCAAGCTTTGTGACCTTGTCTTCCAAATCTGTGATGTATTTTTGAAGCTCCAACTTAACCTCTGCTGCCTTATCTTTCCATTCGTTCTTGATCAATTCGATGACACCATCTCTCGAGGCAATCTTACCATCTTTGATAAGTTGTTGTATTCGAGTTTGATGACGACCGTCAAATTCAGAGCCAGCCCAGCCCTGAATCTTAACTCTATTACTTTCAAGCCATCGATCAAATTGCTTGGTATTGAAGCCTTCAGTACTGCGAGTATCAGATGGAGAGGGAGAAATTGAAGGACCATCGGGAGAACCATCATGAGAACCATCAGAAGAACCATCGGGAGTAACATAGACAGGCTCCGGAATGAGAGTTGGATCACTTCGAATCTTGTCTCGCATAGCTTGCCAAAGTTTTGCAGGAAGAGCTGGTTTTCCAGCATGGTCCTTTTCAAGAACAAGGAAATCCGGAAGCAGTTTCTGGATTTCTTCCAGAGCATTTTTGTCGATTGAAGAACGATGCTTGAGGAACGTTATATCAGCTTCCGCAGCATCCAAACGGCGGTAAACTTCCTTCAGGTCCTCTGGGGCGAATATTCTAGTGGGATGTTTAATTTGTGATGGGATGAACTGTCCAATGTTCGACGACATATCGGTGCCATACCAACGAAGGCTAGGCTCGCCACTATTCAAAAAGATAGTCCATGCAATGAAGGCAATGAGGCCAAGAAGAAATATCGGTATTAAAGACTTGGTAATATCGCCAAAAAGATTTAAGAGGCCCTTTGTAAGCCTTGCAAAACTGTGGATAGTCAGTTTGATTCCAGAAATAGCAATATCAAATTTACTCACAACCTGAATGGCCATCTTAAACCTTGTCCGACATCAACAACAATTCCATCCCTAAGCTCTAATATTGGCCCAGTACGAGCACCACCTCGCATGTATTGTTGTTCTTCCATGATATCTCGTAATGCAGTACGACGGTTTAGCTCGTCTTCATCCAAGGGGGTCGAGATATGAAAATCGTAGTCTTGCTGTTGGTATGAATCAGACATAATGCTAGCATTGTCGTACAATTGGCTTTCATTCTGGAAATTTCGATTGGCACTTGGAGGAAGTCGTCGTTTAACAGGTCCAGTCCTCGAGCGCATAGAAGGAATGTGAGCAGGAGCATGAGGAACTGGTTTGGCAGGACGAGCATCAACTTGTAAAATTAGCCAAAACCCCGATTATAAACAATAGAATTTGGCAGACTTACCATCAGGAATTGGCTCCTCGGGGGAATTTGCTCTAGGTTTGGTTCCCTTGCTAGAAGATTCTGGCTCTAAGAGACCTTCAATGACAGAAGAGATATCGTTGGCCAATGGGGCCGCTCTTGGACCATAATTTGGGAGTGCGAGTGTATTTGTACCGTACGCAGTACTTGTAGAAGCTGCCACGGGAGGGGGACCAGCGCCGCGTTCAGAACCAATGACTGAGCCAGCCGATTTCCTAGGACGTCCTCTACCTGGTGTTCGAGATGCTGGTATATCTTCAGGACCAACAGCATTAGATCCGGAAACACTAGTAGCAGTGCGGCTACCAGCTCGAGTAGTGCGTCTTGTAGACATTATTTGCTAATTTGTTGTAAACTTGCTATCTTAGCAGCGATATTGTGAGACGATTGAGAGTATTTGAGGAACTCGAGATTGAAATTGATGTCTGCAGATGTATGAGTTAGTAAGAATTGATCAAATTTTCGAGCGACAAGGTCAATACAAGTAGCCCAATCCAATACACGCAGCTGTTGTATCTGGAAGAGATGAGAGGGAACGGCAAAGTGCCTACCTTTAAAGCTGGCGTGATGCGCAATATGCACTGCAAATATTCTCGTCTTGCGGGTTCTAGAAGAAAGCAAGAAGCAAAGAGCAAGGAGATATACTGAGAGAAGACTTTGGATGTACTGTTGCTTCTTGATCCTGCAAGCCCGTAGCTCCTGTGAAGCTATTCGGATAAACCTCGAGAATAAGAACAATGAAAGCGCAGATTCACTTTTTCGCACAAAACACGGTGGTATTTCCTTCGTCTACGCGTCTCAGTAAGAAGCAAGATCAATAAAGTGTCTCGTGAAGCATTTGAATCGCATGCGCAGTAATTATTATGGTTGATTGTATTCTTTGGCGCGTGTTGACATATTGGAGTTCACGATATCGCGGAACACATTGGACGACACAATAGCATCAAAGGCCATTTAAGTTAATGATGCAAACGGAGTTTCTCGCTAGGAAATTGAATAAGGCCTTTTTTTCTTGATCGAGTACAAAGTAATGATTGAATTCAGTCAATTAAAATGAAATATTTAAAATACAAAGGATGTTTTTTCTTTGATTATTTGTGTTTTCTTTTCCCCATTCCTCGGTGTTGATTCTTTGTTCTATGAAGATTATGGAACAAAGCAAAGCAAAGCAGACCGATCAGTCAGTGAGTTAGCCAAATCTGCAAGCTTAATGCCTCGTTACTTCAGACGGTTGGACAGCCACGTGACCATGACGCTGGGATTAATTGAGTCTGCAGTATCAGATCAGATCAACCACAATTACTTCATCCAAGTGCTCATACGCAACCTTGGAGTACCTGCAAGCTTGTACAGCAAGTCGATATGCGGTGTTAAGTTCTATTGGGATTATTCCATCATTGATATTCATTAATTACAAAATATGGATACTGAATAATAGGGAATTCGATTTTGTAGCTAACCTTAAGGTTATAAGCCAACTCATTCTATGTAAGAGCTTGCCCAGGTTTAACAGATGCAAATAAGTACTCTCATTTATTACCATGTTAATTAAAATCAGCAATGTTTATATGAATCTTCAATTACTACTACGAATATAACACGATAAGAGTCGGAAATTCATTGCATTTTCATTAATAGATAGGTATATCAACAAGATTGCATGTCAGGAATCGTTGAGCTAGTGCAACTACACAGAAGCCAAAAGACAGACTATTTACTGCTGCTACCAGAATTATATCATAAGATTCTCACCATGACATCTGTAGTTCATGACCGATGAATCATTACCCCTAACACATCCTCTCCGCTTTCTTCCAACTTCATAGACAAACAGTAACCTACTTATTATTCCAATATGAATCCGGGCCAAAAATTCTCATTTCCGTCTTCTTCCCAATCTCAAATGCCTTCTTCGCAGCCCTCGTAGCATTCTCCCTCCACTCCTCAATGAACTTCCTCGCCCTCTCTCTATCCTCCCCAAAAAGAATCTCCTGCTCCTCCACCACCTCCGGCGCATCCCACCTTCTCAATCCCAGCAGCGCATCCGACAATGCCCCCAACGAATCCAATCTCACACACCCCGGAAATCTATACGGAATACGCGAATTGAAAATCGGTTTCCCGCTCTGTGTCGCTTTAGGTGGCATACACGCTACTCGCGCCAACGTAACATCTTGCACTGTCCCCGCCCCATAATCCGTATTCGGAAGCGTCATGTGGTCTTCCGCAACGCGGGACATCCAGGGGAGAATGGTGCGGCGTTTGGGCACACCAGGATAGCGGGGTTGAGCACCGTGGGGGATTTGGGGCATGGTAAAGCGCGCTTCGCCGTGGAGACAGGGTACCGTTTCCCAGTTGAGTCGCGGGGTCGATATAGTTGGGATGCGTGTCACAGCACCGCTTTTTCTGTACTCTTCAGGTATTCCTGCCCACCAATTTGCGAGAACCCCGGGTTTGTGAAAGCCAGGAACGATCTTAGTACTGTTTTGAGGAGCTTCGTCATCGAGACTAACGGAGCCTTGGACTTGAGCATTTATGTTAAATTCCCCCTTCAAAAGCTTGCTCACATTTTGATCAATATGTTCAAAACCACCTGTTGTAGGATGATCTTCATCAAACTCGGAGTATTTCGCATAACTAGGGTATGACAATAAGCTCGTCCAATGATCCGGTCTTAAGGCTGTATAAGTCGCGTAATGTAATGGATCTTGTGATACTAGCTGCTGTGCTATAGAATGAAAAGCTGTTGGGAGCCAGCCTTTGTTTTCATTTCCATGAAAATCTTGTCGAGCGTGATGTTTATACATCTCCAGATCTTCATCTACAATGCGAGCTACTTCTCCATCATTTGCCACCCACCACCATTTGAATATTGGGATATTCACAGATCCCTTCTCATCCCAGGTGCAAATAGCAGCATCAGAATCCCAACTGTCTTCTCTTGTAACATCCGACGATAATAAAAATGAAAGCGTCCTTTTCAGAAAATCATTGTCGAAAAGTCGTTCTTGGATGGTCCTGGGAGGCCAGCTTGCATGCTTAGCAAATTTATAATGTCCCAAAGCATCACACTCTTGGTGTACTCTATGTAAATCTGAAAACCAACCACTCGCCTCGCCGATCTTGAGTGCCTTTACAGCTTCTTCACCGTTGAGACGTGCCGTATTTAAAGCTTTCATTCTATCGTTCAACTCGGCCTGTTTACAGTATTTGACTTTGAGGCCAGACAGAACAGCTATTTTCCGTTGATGCCTTGAACAAACTCGCGTCAGGTTTCTAATGGTAACATTGAGCATAATCATAACATCGTTGAGAACGTTTTGTGGCATACGGCGCCATTTATGCGTCCGGTATAACGTATCAATCTTTTGACGAAAAGATACTGTGCATTGACAGGAAGTGAGCTGGTGAGCTGTATCGGAAAAGTTTGATACCACAGACTCATCCGAGTCAGTATCAATAGAAGGTGAAAGCTCATTCGCTTCCGCGTCAAATCTAGTGTTTCTTGATAATTCTCGAGAGAGTCATTGAGTCTGGTGTCAATGCTGATAGGCTCAGTTCCGTTCATCCCTCGAATATGGAATAGCTCTGATGCACCTTCAATATGTGGTGTGTTTGGTTGTAAATATAAACCATTTCCCTCTAACAGAGTTGTACCATCAAGAATATTGGCAGAGATATTCATTGATTCATCTTGAAAGTGGGTTTCAATCATATCGCCATATAACCCTGTTGATAGATTCCTGCTCAATTGTAGATTTTCATACATTGATTTAGGATGTCTCCGGGCCTCTTCAATGTTTATCGCCCTCTCACAATCTGATCCTTGCAGTCGCTTTCCATTCCTTGATCCCTTTTTAGATGTTAAAAGGCGTTGAATCAAAGCATCATTTAATCTATCTATAGCATCCGGGTAATTTGGAAACTTCCTTGCTACTCTTGCCAAATGAAAAAGAAAATTGCTCGTTGTGATGAATCCTCCACCCAAGAGCATACTCCTTCATACTTCGACCATCTAGCTTTTATATAATTAATTCTTTCTAAGCGACGCTTGCGAATCCGAGGTATGTTTTGCTCTATCCCTAGGCGAATGTATAGAAGTTGATTGTCGAGAGTCTCTTCAGTGTATTTATCCTTCCACCAAGCTGGGTTGCTTTTGAGAATTTTAAAGACAGTATTCATATATTCAAATATATCATCTTTGTTGGCATCTAATGCCTCAAGCGTTTCAAAGCAATAAGTGGTTTTCTCTTCATTACTTCTCATGTGAGCTATCGATTCAAGAAATTTTCTTAAATCTACCACCCCTGAAACACGCTCTTTTTGACTTGAAAGAATGGGTTGTGCTTGGGAGGATGCATCTACCGCGTTGACATTTTGATTTGAGCATTGCATCTTGAGGTTTAGAGGCAAACTTTGACACACGTTGGGATAATTTGTCAAGGGCCAATGTAAATATATGAGAAGGCAACGATTGCAATCCGAATGCGGCAAAAGCGAAAAAAAAAACATAATCAAAAGCAACTACTGCAAAATAAACAGCTTAGCTGTCGTCAACATTTGCTTGGGTTCTTTGATCAAGCTTGTAGACAAAGAATTAGCATTTTGAATGTTCAGTTGGGGACTCGATCCCTCCCCAAAGGGTAATTGACTTGTACTATCATTCAGATACAAAGGTCTAGAGAACATACATCAAAACATTCAAAGGAAAAGTCAAAGGATGTGGTTGAGTGAAAAAATGACGCAGCAACTGGTGAAGCTACAACAAAGGATCACAAAGGAATCTTAGCAAGAGTCTTTGTGCTATCGATCAAGGACAGAAAAATGAAAGAGTTGAAGAAGATACTGGTATAGCTTGATACAAAGAGTGATGAGTCGAGAATATGTAGATTGCGACGGTAGAATAGAAGATCTGAGAAGAATATGTTGTATGATGGAATGGAAGAAGACCGTATGAAATCGAATACTTGATTGACTCTACTGCGAGGTATTCATTATCTGCAAGACACCTCCTAGAACTTTCATAGGTGAAGTCTTTTATGATATTTGTACTACATAACTTGTATAGTTTCTTTTTCATCATCACATATCAATAAACATCAGCGTCTCGATATTTTCAATGTGATGAAATTAAAGTGACGCTCCGCTGGCTCTCCGAGGGCCACTGCCGTGGAGGCAGAATAGAATAGATGGAATTATGTAAGCGCTACTTCATGCATGTGATTCCATGTCACCAGCCACCAGCCACAGAGCCACAGTCTTCTATTATAGATAACCTTAGCCCCAATCAAAATGAAATGACGAACTTCAAGGTTCAGAGAACAAGCCAGAAGATCAACAGTAGTGGGCTCATCTCATTTCTCCATTGTTCCACCCTTACTCCATACAATTGGCGTACGCTGGTTTCATACAAAGTCGAGATCAAAGTTCAAAACACTTCAATAACGTCAGCCAATTTGGAATCATTAGTTCCAAACTTCAGATGGAAGATTTTCTTTCTTCTCTTCCATAAATAGATCTTGATCTAAATATCCATATACCGTTCCTCACATCTCCCTCCTTCCACTATTGTCCTCCCTCAGACGACAATTAAGGATCCAGTATATGGCTAGTCCTGCTACTAGGTATCACCCGTTGACGGCAACACTATCCCCGCGGGTCCTCTTTAGCTAGTGATTACTCGTATGAATGACTCAATTAATAGCGGCGTTCTCGTAAGGTCTTCTGCTACGACGCCTTTCATTCGAGCGGATAAAGGAAATTTAAATCGGTGGCGGCGGTATGAGGAGTGGAAACATACCTGGTATTTGGAGTATAGTTGGAGTAATTCTAACCACATGCTATGCTGATACTCCGTGGAATAACATGCCTTGGAATTGCTCTGAGACGGGTGGCTAGTTGTTGCTACTGTTATTGCTACTGATACCGTGAGTGTTACTCACATGTGACTGTTACTGTGAGTATTCCTGTTACTCAATCCCAATATAATTTCATGCATCCATCCTTTCCCTCCCTCAGTTCTATCCTGTCTCTATCCGCAAATTAAATATGATTATCATTATTCAAGCAACCGCGGGTTAAATTTCCATCTATCAACAATATCCATGGATATCAACAATCTATTAGCAACTTAAATTTTATGAGGCTGGTGAGGCAATCCTCGTTAATCCCTGGCACACCCAGCAGTTTCGAATGTTGCCCCACCATCGATCTGCAGGCTCCCCGATGACCGAGGATCTTACATTTAATTTATATTCCTCTCTCTCGCTGTTTGTTATTATAACAATAACAAGAACATAACTCTCTTCCAACTTTTCGGATTAAATTCACAGAATAATTCAATCTCATACAGCAATCATGTCAGTTGGAACAGTCTTAATCACCGGGTAAGTTGTTTTTCCATCATCCTCCAAATTCTCAAAATCTTCAACGGTCGATCGAGTCCAGACAAATTGTTGGAGAAACTGGGGAAATCTCAAAATTTAACCCCGCCATCCAACCATTCATCGATCAACGATCCAACCACCAACGGTGAACTACTTACTAATTGCCTTTTTTTCCATAGAGGTACTGGATACATCGGTTCTTTTACAACTTTGGCCTTACTTGAACATGGCTACAATGTTGTAATTGTTGATAGTTTATACAATTCTTCCGTTGTCGCATTGGATCGCATTGAAACACTGTGCGGCAAGCGTCCAGATTTTTACCAAGTCGATGTCACAGATGAGGCAGAGTTAGAGAAGGTCTTTGCTGCTCATCCAAAGATTGACAGTGTCATTCACTTTGCTGCTTTAAAGGTGGGTAGATTATACATCTCATGACTAACATCATCAAACTAACCAACTTTTGTGCGACAGGCAGTTGGAGAATCTTCCGAAATCCCACTCGAATACTACCGCGTCAACGTTGGTGGAACAATCTCTCTTCTGAGATGCATGAGCAAATATGATGTCACCAACATCGTCTTCTCCTCATCTGCCACCGTATATGGTGATGCGACTCGAGTTCCAAATATGATTCCAATTCCAGAACATTGCCCAATTGGACCCACAAACCCATACGGACGTACCAAGAGCACAATTGAAGATGTCATCACTGATCATGTCAATGCGCAAAGAAACAATTTGAAGAAGAAGGGGGAGAAATATGAGCAATGGAATGGTGCATTACTGAGATACTTCAACCCCGCTGGTGCTCACCCAAGTGGTATCATGGGCGAAGATCCTCTAGGTGTCCCATTTAACCTCTTGCCATTGTTGGGCCAGGTTGCTACTGGAAAACGAGAGAAGTTGCTCGTGTTTGGTGATGGTAAGCAATTTCCAGTCTTCTCCGCCCCCCACTACAATTCTCCACCCTCCCACTCTATATTCTCCAGCCTCGGTTCGGCCCTCCTCCAGATTGAGCAAGAGCTAACAAAATTTTCTCTCTAGACTATACTTCTCGGGACGGTACCGCTATTCGCGATTATATCCACGTTGTCGATTTGGCAAAGGGTCATCTCGCCGCTCTAAATCATCTTCGGGAACAACAACCCGGTGTTCGCGCATGGAACTTGGGATCTGGTCGTGGATCTACCGTCTTCGAAATGGTCAAAGCATTCAGTCATGTTGTAGGACGCGACCTTCCATATCAAGTAGTCGAACGCCGAGCAGGTGATGTTCTAGATTTGACTGCCAATCCTACTCGCGCAAATGAGGAATTGAAGTGGAAGACTGAGTTGACATTAGAAGATGCTTGTGAGCATTTGTGGAAATGGGTTAGTAACAACCCACAAGGATATCGTCAAGATTTCCCGGAGAATCTTTTGAGTGATTATAAGGAGAGTTTGAAGAAGAATAATTAGTGTGGGCAGGGCCTATTGAGCATAGTTTTTGTAGTTTGAGGGGGCTTTCATGATTAATTTTGGGCATTTACATGAGGTTATATTAGTTATAGATATCAAATGAGTTCACTCACGACCAATTAGAGAATAAAAATAGAAGCAATTTTCCCACGAAATATGTCTTTGGGTAGAGAAGATTGATGTGTGTGTGTAGTCGTAGTATTTATCTTGGGAGTAAGTGAACGAATGATCAAGTGCAATAAATGAAAGAAACAGTCATTATCGAATACGTAGAATGACATAGTAATAAGCTTATCAAACATAGAGTTGCGGGAGCTAGAGTAGTAGTATTAGGATCAAGTAGAGTACCTAGTGTGGAATAAGCTCACCGGGAGCTTGTATGGTGAGTGCTTGGATTAGACCAGAAGCTGATTAGTGGGAAAGAGAAGAGAGGCTCACCGGAAGTAGGTGGAGAGGGGGAGAGGCGGAACGATGGGAATTGGGAGGAGGGAGGAGGGCAGGGGAATGGGTATGAGGGAGGGGGCGGGAGGAGAGGAGAGGAGGGATTACAGGGAATCTTGGGAACTTCGGGGATCTCGGGAAAGATAAGATGGGGGTGGATTTAAGTACCTAGCCTAGGTAGGTACTACGATAGATAGGGACTTGATTACCTAGGTATCTCTTCGTTTTCTTATTTCTGATCAGAGATATTTGGATACTAGGTAGGTTTTAGATAGATTTTAGATATTATAATGCTTACTTATTAGTAGTTTATCATGATTTAATTATTTACTAAGTATCTATCGTAGATATAGCAAAACCTCTCCATAAGGATACCGGTTTTTGTAGTCTTTTTTAAGGATATATAGAGGTATCTTTGTATAGAGGTTTCGTTTAATCCCGATATAGTAATAATTTTCTTCCGATTAGTCCCGATCGAGTAAGTTCTGTGATATTTCTAGAGTTTTAATAAAAAATCTCTCTAAAATCCAGATATGCTTATTATATAATAGTTAATTCTAATAATTCTGTTGGTCCAATAAGAATATATGAGATTCTGAGACTGAAAATTATAAGGATATCCTAATGGAAGGGTTTTAAGGATATAGGTTATTTTTAGTCCTGAAAATTTTTGGGATCAAAAAATATATTCTTATAGAGGGGATCCTTATAGAGAGGTTTTGCTGTAGTAGGTATTTCTTTTCCTCTCGAGAACTTTGTAAGTCTTACATTTTTGATAAGATTTACTAGGTACCTTGAGATTACCATGCTATCTAGTATCTATCTATATATATTTCCATGAATCAAAAGCCCAATACAATCACGCAAGTGCGGGGTTTCTCCCTTCTTTTCAGGGGTAGGTAGGGCAGCTCCCCAAATACATCTGATTGATTGTTAAGCATTATATGGTAATATGTACGATATTTATGTATGACAAATCTCTGTTTCCAAATGTTGGGGTTGTTGTAAGTTTAATAAAAGATATAAAATCCCATTGAATTTCTAATTTCCTCTCTCCTCTCTCCTTACTACCTACTACCTATCCGATCCTGTCCATGTCTCTCCACCCATTCTCATTCCCCATTCGTACAAGTGTGAACCTTACAAGTAACCTTATTGCTCGCTCCAATAACCTTAACCCCCCGGCCATCATCGTCAGATTACAATTGCAAACCCCACGTGCAACCCTCCTCACACGCTTCGCATCTTCATCTTCACACCGTACAAGAAATTCTCATAGGACTCGGAGATCGTTTGCGGCTGTTCCGTTGGAGAATACGTTGGAGCATACTTTTGAGAGGATTCAATTGCGACAATTCGTGCAGAGAAGATATATGTCGGAGCTTCCGCGAACGATGAAGGTGGTGGTGATTGAGAAGACGGGGGGGGTAGAGGTTTTGGATTATAGATCGGATGTACAAGTGCCCGTGCCTGGGGAGGGAGAGGTGTTGGTGAAGAATGAGTTTGTGGGGGTTAATTATATTGATACGTGAGTTTTTTGTTTTGTCTTTTGTGGTGTTTGGGTTTGGGTTTCTTTGGGTGGTTGGGTTGGGTTTGGTGTGGTGTGGTTTGCGTGGGTGGGTGGGATGTCTTTGATTGGGATGGATGGATAGATGGATGGATAGATGGATGGATAGATGGATGGATAGATGGATGGATAGATGGATGGATAGATATACCTACTCGTCGCAGAGTATCTCCGACATACAATACAATCCATCCTTATATAAGTATTCAGAAATCCATCCGCTAACTTTCCTGCCCTCCAGCTATTTCCGTACCGGTCTCTATCCCTCTCCCAAACCCGAAATTCTCGGCCGCGAAGCAGAAGGCACGGTAGTTTCTCTCGGTCCCTCTACAAACACAAATCTCAAACCCAATGATCGAGTAGTCTACTTGGGTACCTCCGCCTACGCTGAATACACCGTCGTCCCTGCAGCAAAAGTACACACTGTTCCTTCGGAACTCGCCCCGGGTATCGCAGCTGCAGCTATTCTCCAGGGTCTCACGGCCCTGACCCTCATTCGGGAAGCGTACCATGTGCAACGCGATGATTGGATTTTGGTTCATGCTGCGGCGGGTGGAGTAGGTTTGTGGTTGTGTCAGCTTTTGAGAGTGGTGGGTGCGAAGGTCATTGCGACGGCGAGCTCGGAGGAGAAATTGAAGTTGGCGAAGGAGAATGGGGCGACGGTGGGGATTAATAATAAGGAGGAGGATATTGTTAAGAGAGTGCTTGAGATTACGGGGGGAGAGGGTGTACATGCGGCTTTTGATAGTGTGGGGAAGGATACTTTTGATGGGGATTTGGAGGTGGTGAGAAGAAAGGGGACGGTGGTTAGTTTCGGTAATGCTGTAAGTTGTTTTTTTCGCGTCTCTTTTATCATTCATTACCCTTGATCCTTAAATCCCCGAATTCCTACTAACCCTAATATTTGTAGTCTGGAGCAGTCCCCCCTTTTGCAATTTCCAAACTCGCAGCAAAGAATCTCAAGGTTCTTCGTCCAACCCTTTTTGGATATATAGCTACCCGTGAAGAATTCGAGAGGTACACGGCGGAACTCTTTGATTTTATCATTAAGGATAAGTTGAATGTGAGGATTCATGAGATTTATCCGTTGGAGGAGGTGAGGAGGGCGCATACGGATATTGAGGGGAGGGGGACGACGGGAAAATTGTTGTTGAAGGTTTAGGGTGTGGATGTGGTGGGAGTGGGAGTGAGGGGGGTTAGGGGGAGATGGCGAGAGATAGTGAGAGATAGTGGATGGGTGGTATAGATTAGTTTAGAGATACGTGCATATGAGTAGTGAGATTATAATATCTATGAGGACTTTATAAGATGAATGAGTGTGTTTCTTTTTTTGGTGCTCAAGTGTTTCGGAGTATGGTGGTTCATTCAAATCTGGTAAGATTTTTTTGGCTTTTGATTTTAGTCCTCTTTTTTGTGTTTGTATTAGGTTGATGGATTAAGGTTGAGAGGAGAGGAGAAAGGTGAAAAGAAAAAAATGAAGAGAGTTGAGAGTTGAGAGTTGAAAGTTTAATTGTAGTATAGGTACCTAGGTAGTCGAGTATGATTCGATTTATTTATATGAATGTTGTATGAGAGATGGTTATAGATTGAGGGGTTAAGAGGGGTTAATAGGGGATAGGAAGAAGGGGAGAAGGAAGGTATTGAGTAGATAGGGAGAGGAGGTGAGAGGAGGTGAGAAAGATGTGGGGTGAGGTCAGAGGGGATAGGAAAAAGAGGGGAGAAGGAGGAGAGAAGGAGGAGAGAAGGAGGGGAGAAGGAGGGGAGAAGGAGGGTTAGTGATGTGGTGTGGTGTGGTGGGAATTAATGTTAGTAGTACCTATAGAGAAGAAGAGGAAGATTCTGAGGAAGGAAGAGAGGGAAAAAGAAGATATCAGTATATACATATACAAAAATTTTAATAGACTAAGAGATAATTAGGAGAGAGGGAGATAGGAGGTTCATTAATAATTCTAATAGAATATATCTATACATATATATGTATACTTTGAAAATCGAGGAAATACTTTGGAAATACTTTATCTTGAATGAAACGGAGGGAGGGGATTTTAATTTCAATATTAGAATGAGGGTATTTGGTAAGAGATGAATTGAGATTTGATCGGGAATATGTATGAAAACTATAATTGTAAAGATAGAGATCGAGAAGAAGATTAAGGGACTTTCTTCTAGATTTGTAAGAGAAAAGCTGGCATGGATAAGAGGGGGTAGTTTTAAATAGGAATGATGGATACTCAGGAGTAATGTATGTTATCCTGATTGATAGTTGAAGATGTGTATCCGGTTGGAGGACAGAAATTGAAATGGTGATTAGGAAAGTGAGAGTCAAAGAAGCGATGATGTGATTGAGATTGAGATTGAATACCTAGGTATGTAAAGATAATTTCACACTACATATATCTTATAAATTGACTCTTATACTCTTTCTTTTATATATCCATCAAAACTAAATAGATGAACAAGTAAATAAATACATATCCGTTCTCGGATTCGATATGATAATGAATATATTTTACCGACCTTGTTTTACATCAATATGAAAGAAAAGATCTAGTAAATGTATAAGATATCTTGAAATCTTAAATGAGGTCTTTTCGAGAGGAGGAATGGGAATAAGAAGAGTATGAGATAGATATCTAGGTAGAGAAATCATCTTGGTATTTTCACCTCCCCATTAGAAGGGGGTGGTGCATAGAGATGAGAAGGACAAAATGTATATGAAGATGTAGTAGTTATCGTATTGTATAGAGAGATATCACTCTGCATCTCTCTCTTACGGAAAGTCAGCCAATATATAGAAAAGGTTGGAACTATTTGTAAGATTTTGGTGCTCTGGAAAATCTCAAGAGTTGTGAGAGTAAATATTTATGTACGTGTGGAAGTTACTGTTTGGATCTCATCTCAGGTTTGGTAAATTATAATCATACATGTTCTCAAACCACACGCGAGGCTGTACGGTAAGTGACATACCATTAAGATGGGATTGAACTGTTGGGAATTATTTTCGCACGTCTTAGTCAGTGAATGTAATTGAAAGGATATAGTATTGGAAGAGTCACTATATAACTTAGTTGAAGACCTCATAAAGGAAATCCAAAAGAAATGGATGATATACAGACATTTGAAATGTTATTGAGAGGAAGGACAAGATGAGATAACCTCCATACGTTGTATGCGACAGAAACAACATAGTTATATGATCGTTAACTCTCCTCGATTCAAAATCTCAGCTAGAATCGGGACTGATATATTGACCCATTCTCATCTGTTCTCTGTTCTATATCAAGCGTAAATAACGATGTTAGAAGTAAAAACAGAACTTCTGTGCATGCTTGGATCAAGTGAGAGATCAAATTGTAGAATCATTCCTCAGAGAAGAATGCCGTATGAAATATAAGTCGTACGATATAACTCAGAAGATTGATCCTGGATTCGTAGACCGGAGATTTTTCATATGAATCAACAATAAGTAGAATCAACAATAAGTAGAATCAACAATAAGTAGAATCAGCAATAAGTAGAATCAAAAATGATATATTTCACACACGGTGAATGTTACTTACTAGGTTCTTCCATGACTTCATCATAGATTAGATGTTACTTGTTGATTCTAAGATAACAATGATACATCTCTATATTGATAGATTTCGAGGGAAGTGGAAAGTCGGCTTTTTTTCTTTAGGGAAAGTAATAAATGAAGATACCATAAGATCTTGTACTTAATTTCACTGGAAGGTGATGAGTACGATACAACGTTTTTACTGGACTTCCCAAAAGAAAAAACCACACGATATTAAATCTCTCAACATAAAACATGAATGCAATTTTCATCAAGTCCCACTATTTCCTCGAGATAAAAAGCCATAGAGCTGAGTGAAGCGAACTCGGAGCAATACTCCCATACAAGACTAGAAGCGGCTCTTTCTCATTTATTGAACTCTAATATCCACCCCAGTGGCTTAAGACTTTGTGCCAACTTCGTGGATACTTCCCCAAGGCTAGACACGGTGAGTCTGGAGGAATCGGGCCTATTATGGATTATGCGAATTCCGCTCTCCAGCACAGATCAAGTGTCCCGCGCGTTTGACTAGGTGGGATACTGTGAGCACACGCTAGGGAGGTGGATTCGTGGAGTGCGCTCGCTTCTCCATCTGGAGATGAAAGGGGATGAAGCTTTGGGGAGTGTATCATGAATGTATTGATGGGGGCAAATAGTGGATATGGGGAAATTGAGCGGTTGGGGGTAAGTGGATCTGGGAAGCGATGGATAAGAGTCTCGACTTCGTTCCAGGTTGTTAAGAAGTGGATACTTGTGAGAAAGCTCAAAGAATAGTATGAGTATCTGCTCTAGCATGAAGATTGGTGTATCATCAGGCGTAGGTAAATGGGATAAGGCCATAAACAGAATTAATGTCATGAGGTGACATTTCAATGGTGATGAATAACCCACTTGAAGCAAGCCACAATCACTAATTGTAGTGCGTATCCCAACCATAAAGTTCCGATATAGGACAGAGCCTCAAACATCTCGTCGCCTAACACTTTCATATGTTCCTCAATCGTATTCGCCTCCTGAAGAAGTTTCAAGCCACATTAAGATTGTGGCATGATGGAAGTTGCACCACATTAAGCCTTTTGAAGTTTTGATAAGCTTCTAGAAGCCTTTTAGACATTGCATTAACAATAAGCGATGATGAATGTGTTTTTTTTCTTGGAGAAGCTTGTTATGAGTGAGAGTAGAATGAAATAAGTTCAGCCAGCGAAAGAAAGGAAAGGAAAGGAAAGAAAAGGCTTGATAAAAATTGAAGCATCTAGTTTGCCGATGAAGTGCCATGATTAGCGTCAAAAGATGCTTGAAGAGGGCACTAAATATCCGCTAAAGGAGAAGATAGCGCTAGAATTGAGCTAGAAGCAGGCTAGAAGGTCTGGAAATTCGTACCCGATAGCTCACGGGCGTTGTCTAGATTCAAATATTCAAATACCATGCAGATGCAATATTAGATGATTTTCCTCCCATTCTCTTCGGCATGTCCGTCTTTCCATTATCGATCTTTTAGAGAATTGGCCTTCATATGGTCTTGAACATGTTATCGCAATGCAGAAAATGTATGCACGAGTATGCACGAGTCCTGAAAGAGATTCAGCATGAAATTCAGCGAGGATTCAATGATGAAGGGGTAATGATTGGAAGAGCCGAGGAGATATTCGAGTACGTGAGAGTGAAAGATGCTGATTACATCTTTGGCCATGTAAATGAATGATTATTGGTTGGTTCCTTTCGACTAGGTCATGAAATCCCCCGCGCCATTCTTTCTCTTCCTTGTCTTTCCTGTCTTCCCCACCAACTTCAGTCCGTGTACAAGTGGATCTATCTTGGAATTTGATATTATTGCCCCTCTTGCCCCTCACCCTCACCCTCGCACCGGATTGTAACCCATGGGGAATTACATAACAGGCTTAGCCCTTCTTCTCATGCACATACGTGGATACCTGCATGTTCATGGTCACTTGACCTCGATCTCAATCAAATCATTGACGACTAGATGCGAATCTGGATATTTCCCCTTTGATCAATGAAGCATTTGAGGTTGGAAATACATCTTAGTACCACAGCTCGATACCTCCAAGATCCATAATAACCCCGACGACAAGGGCCATGAGACTGGGAAGATGATGTACGATGTAGATGATAGTATGGAGAAGAAGAAACTTGATCCAATGGAAGGATTGGTCCGGGTAAATGTGTTGAGGAAATCATGCTAAATGGTTAAGCTTTCACATGAAGCTTTTCTACATTCGCCTTAGTTCCTTGAGCTTCTCTACATTTGCATTAGTTCTCTCAGCTTCTCCAGATTTTCCCAGCTTTTCCTCGCACCTTTCACACCTTTCACACTTCTTCAATCGATCGACTGCGGGACTTTCCTTGTTCGGTCATATTTTCGGAGCGTCCTAAAACGACTAAAGCGACTAAAACGACTAGAAAATATTCGACTGCGTAGTAAGTATATCGCCCTTCAAATGTAAGAATCGACGGCAAAGTAGCCAATCAAATCAAGTCAAAAACTATTTTCTGAGACGGGATCGTGTACCAAAGTATGAAGATAGCTTAGTCGTATTTAAGAAACGTAGACGGTCAAAACATCTGTCTGTCGACCTAGACTCGCTAGGGAGGTATCTACCGATATACTAGGAATACGGGATTTGTTCGATTCAATGGTACCGACAATAGTAACCATCGTGTCTAGGCCGATCTAGGTAAGATTACATTCACTCAGACTTTTGATCTCATTTGAATAATTTTATATTTCCAAAGTGTGGATCCCCTTATGCAATCAGATTGATTCCGTCTAGGTACTTGATTGGATCGAATTATTCAAGGTCTAGGGTTAAAAGGTAGAGAGTCGAATGATGGATATCTCCGGTGGGAGATGGAGGTGGATGAGTGAGTGGGTTGAATGATGGGTCTGGGGTAATTGAATGGAGACTGGGGTTTGGGGAAGTTCAACAACTTGGGAAATTCCTATAAAGATGGAGTAACCCAGCTTCTCAATACAACATCATCATCATCAACAACATCACCATCATCAATTCATCCTCTCTCTTTCCAATAAGAACTTCATATTCTCTCTATACTCTATAGAAGAATTTCATTCTTATTTTCTCCATTCTCTCCACCTCAATAACAACAACAACACTTCCCTTCAATCCCTTCACAATGGCCGGTGGAATTCCAATTTCCACGACACCCCTTTCAACGGGTTTCCTCCGTGGAAAAGCTCTCATCTTTCCACTTTCCCTCGTCATCTCCCTCTTCTTCCTATGGGGTTTCTCTTATGGTTTACTCGATGTGCTCAATAAGCATTTCCAAACAGTTCTTGACATCACCAAGCTTCAATCTACCGGTCTTCAAGTCGTTTACTTCGGTGGCGGTTATCTTCTCTTCTCTCCTATTGCCGCCGAAGTCATGAAGCGCAAGGGTTATAAGATTACCATCTTGATGGGTCTTTCACTTTACTCTCTTGGTGCCATTATGTTTTGGTAAGTTTTGGCATCGATTCACAACGTTGTACCACTCGAATCAGAGCTAACATAAAATCCAGGCCAACTGCTCATTTCTCTACATACGAAAATAGAATTGCCTCATTTGGTGGTTTCTGTGCTTGTACATTGGTCATCGCATGTGGACTCGCTACTCTCGAAACTGCCGCTAATTCCTATGCCGTTGTTATCGGTGACCCAGCATCTGCATCAGCTCGTCTTCAATTCTGTCAATCATGGAATGGAGTTGCTTCATTCATCGGTCCATTGATTGCCGGAAAATACTTCTTCTCAGGCGAAAACGCTCACAACTTGACCAATGTCCAGTTCGTCTATCTGGCAGTTGCATGCGCTGGTGCCGCCATCGCCGTTCTCTTCCTCGTCGCCAAACTTCCTGAAGTTTCCGAAGAAATGCTCGAATCCAGCACCGTTAAGACTGAGAACTTGGCCCTCGATGAGTTTGGACATGAAATCGGCCAGGGACCAATCTATAAGCAATACAACATGATCTTCGCCTTCATTGCTCAATTCTGCTATGTTGGTGCTCAAGTCACTGTTGCATCATTCTTCATCAATTACGCTACCGAGAATGCATCTTACTCTTCCTCCCAGGCTTCTAACATGCTCTCCTACGCTTTGATCACTTTCACCGTTGGTCGATTCATCGCCACTGCTCTCGCAACCGTTTTCCAAGCTGATTTCCTCATGATCATCTACTCCGCCTTCGCTATCGCTTTCACAGCCGTTGTAGCTGCGTGGCACGGAAATGGCGCTGTGGTTATCCTCATCCTTCTCTTCTTCTTCGAGGCTCCTATGTATCCTACTCTCTTCACCATGGGTACTGCCAATCTCGGTCGTCATACTCGTCGTGGTGCAGGTATCCTCGTTATGGGTGTATCTGGTGGAGCTGTCTTCCCTCCTATTCAAGGTGCCATTGCCGATTCTGCCGGCACTAGAATCTCGTATGTGGTTCCATTGGTTGGATTCATTTATGTATTGGGATATGTTACTTTCCATTGGATTAGACACGGAAGACATATCATGAGAATCAAGGATGTCGTTGCAGCTGAATTTGTGGGTGGTGCTGCAGGTGGTGTGGTTGAAAAGGTTCATTATGATGGAGATAAAGTGATGAGTGTTGAGCAAAAGGAAACCATCTAAAAGATTTCCATCGTCTTTAATGAAACTTTGGGAAAGGTGAAATGGGATGGTTTGGGGTGTTTGGGATGGGATTATGAACATCTTAATAGATGAAACTTATTGTTTACTGTATATACGTGCTTTTTACTAGCAATTGCCTGGATGGATTTTCTCTCTTCTCTTTATTAGATGAGATCGAATGAACGGATGGATGGATGGATGAATACGATACCACGACTCGAAATGGAATAGAGACATAGATTTCTCATAAATTTACATATTCATTATTTAATTTCTTTTCATCTTGAATTTGATGATGCAACTGTGAATACATATTTTTATGAGATCTTTGCCCCCCCCCCCCCCCCTCTCATGAAAATACCTACGTTATGATTCTTATTCACACGTATTGAGTATCTCCCTGCTTATCTTCCTAACATGTTTTCGTTAAACCAGAATTAACTTTATTCCTGGCATTTAATACTAGAATTCATGTGTATCTTGCGACGTATTAGCATTCGAACTTCTCAGCTCGTGTAAATTGTTTCCAAAAGTGGTTCGTTAGGATTATCAAGCCTCTGTTAGAAAAGTTTTATACACACAGAATACATATCAAACGCCTATCTCACCACTTCATCTCAAACCTCACTCATACTCTCCCGGACCCGGCACCTCAGGACTCGGCACCTCAGGACTCGGCACCTTTATCCTCGCCTCCGCCAAAAGTTCCGCATACAGCTCCGGCTCTTCATCCTTCATCCCCTGTATCCACACTGGATGCTGGTCATCATCCTCCTCATCCTCCTCCAATTCAATCCCAAACCTCAACTTCCTCTCCTTCACCAACAACATCAAATTAAATATTCTCTCCTCATCCACCACCGCCTCCTCCTCTGCCTCCGCCTCCTCCTCAATCTTCAAATTCCAATCCCGCTCGCATATTTCCTTCACATGCCGTTCCGAGAATCGATACTTCAGTACATTTTCCTGCGATATCGCCCAATCAGGAAGCGTCTTAAACATATGCGGAATCCTCTGCTGATACCCTTGTTGAAGAAGCCTTCCCAATTTCTTCTCTTCAATCCTCTCCTCGCGATTCTTCTTCGTCGCAGCCCGAACCACTTTATTCAACTCCGTACTATACATCCTCTCGATATTCTCGTTCGGCGCATCAGCTTGCACACGCGTCGCAAATTGATATATCATCCACCCCACCGTCCACACATCCGTCCGCGCATCATAGAATTCTTTATCCGGGGTCTCCGCCTCCATGCCCTCTTCGGCAGAAATGCGTCCCCCCGGCGGGAGAAAATTCGCAGTCCCGAAATCCCCAACTTTGATATTGGGGTATACCTTTTGTCGCTGCTCCGGGGTAATCGCATGGGCTGGCCATTGCAGAAAGACATTCTGCGGCGCGAGATCCATTGTGATGACCATAGCACGATTCTTATGTTCAGGACGTGTATTGTAATCGGGATGTTCATTGTGTAGGAAGAGAATCGCAGAGATGAGCTGGTCAAAGATGTGCCAGAGGAAGAGTTCGGGGGGAAATCGACGTTCTGCTACGGAAGGGAGAGGGAGCAGGGATTCCCTGCGCATGCGCCGCCCTAGGTTAGCGAGATGGATCATTTGTCTTTCGTTGCGCGCGCCGTCCAGACGTCGATGTCCTTCTTGATAGCCGTTGAGGATGCGGAAGAGATCGCCGCCGTCGCAGTACTCGTAGTACGTGGCGAACATGACGATGCCGCGTTCTTCCACGGGCCCGAATTGGGATGTGAAATCGAGAAAGGCGTCGAGGGCGCAGATATTCGGGTGCCCGGATTTAATGTATTGCAGATAACAGCGGTTTTCGCGGTAGCGCTTGGAGAGGAGATTGCGGGCCGCGATGAGGGTGGCTGAGGTGATGGTTGCTTCGGAGGAGGGGGTGATGGGAGGTGTGTGCGAGAGGGGGTCGGGTGGGGTGTGCGGAGTGGAGGGCTTTTCGCGTTTGCGGCGCGAGAGACGTTGGTCGGTGGTTTCGGATTGAAGTTTTAGGGCGTATCGTTTTTGGGTGAGGGTGTTGAGGACGAGATCTGGCGTTGGGGGAGGATGTTAGCTTCTGGGTTTTGGGGTGGGATTATTTGGGAATGGGATGGGATAGGATAGGGGTAGCGAGAACGCTCCCTTTCTGAACATCTCATCTCATCCCTTCTTTTCCAAAACTCAAATTCCTTCTTTTCCACCTAGACTCAAGGAATAAACTTCTCTTTTCAAACCACCCCCCTGTTTTCATAAATAAACTAAAACGCATCGAAGAAAAGAAAAAAACATACAAACACTCCCAAACCCCCCAACCCCTAATATCCCCTCAAAAACCTGATTCTCGAATGCCCCCAACCTCGGATCTTCTCTCCACTTATTCCGTCTAATAGTCTTCGGATCCTTCTTCAACGATTGATAATAATGCGCTAGTCGTTCTTCAGATTCACGGATATCGTGTTTTGAGAGCGAGGATTTCTGGGGCGGGGAAGGGGGGGCGGGGACGGATCCTGAGTTTGAGTTCGAGGAGGAATGGCTGGGTGTGTCTTGGGAGGAGTGGTGGGAAGAATTGTCGGATGATTCATCGTCTGGGGGGGGATCGTCTGGGTCCGGGGGATCTTGGTCATCGGGATTTTCGGGGGGAGGTGGTGGAGGAAGGGGTGGGGGTTTTGGTGGGGGTTCTGGAGCGGGATTGTTCCATAGACCTATTCCTTCTAAAAAACGTCTGGATATCTCCTGGAGGGTTCCCAGCAGTGGTATAACCTGCGGAGGTAGTGGAGTACCCCCGATTAGCGACGTGTTGTTTTTTAGGAGCTGGGTGTAGATGGTGACGATGAGGGAGAGGTAGAGGTAGCAGTAATTAAGTCTATTGCTTAAAATGAATAGACGTGAGAGATTGGGATGTGATGGTGGAGGTTTGGGTTTTGGCTTTTGCTGCATGGTTTTGGGTTGGATGAATGGATGTTATTTTGGGGTTGGAGAGTTGGATGACATGTTGTGTGATTGAAATTGGAATCGCGATCATGAGTAGGTGGTTAATAGCTTGGAGAACGCTATGAGCTACTGATAATGCTGAAAGAAAATTGATATGTATCAGCTTTGTTACACTTTGACTTGCAAGAAAATCCACAGGGAACAAAGAGATCTTGCCGCATTTGATGGGAGAAGATAGATTCATGGCTTTGTTGTTTGGTGTCAATAAATGATACATATTAGCGAGAATTTTCCCTGGAATCTGTAGCATTGAGAGCATACTAAACAATCAACCACGGGAATTCTCGTCTTTCCTCTGAGATATTTTAATTCTTGGGTTGGGTGTAATCAAATACTACCTAGGTAGCAATTGTAGGGGAATATTGGAGTTTTCAGAATGGGAAGGTACGATAATAATCATTGTGGATATATTGTGGTGAGTTAGAGATAAACTCGTTATGCTAGATGAATGCATATCCGTTCCTAAAATTCTCTGAGCTGTGCTAGTGCTAAAGAATCATCGGATGTGATTACATTCGCTTGAACTTCTTGCCCCTTTTATCAGCAAGAGGGGAAATGAACGAAGGGAAACATACGATAATTACAGCGTTTATTCAAATTTTTAATCACTCTTAAGAAACTATCATCCCATTCATCAAATTAATAGATGTGTATAAGAAAGAAGAAAGAAGGAATATAAAATAAGTCTGATCGCCAACTAATTGCGAAACTCCCTCAAAAACTAGATGATGAGAATGAAGCGAAAAAGCTCACTAGAAAATAATTACTACAATAATCATTAGACGTAATAATAAGCGCACCAATTACAGAGATACCAGAGTAGCAGCAAATCAATTAATTTCACAAAATTGAGGTTAGCGAGAGGGATTCTTAAAAGATCGTTTAGCTCCTCCGCAGGAACTTTCATCGGCCGTGAAAGCTGTATATCTTTTGATTAATTCCTGTAGCTTTAAAAAATGACATCGAGGAAACTATTCTTAACTTTGAAGATCAATGGACGAGAAAGACTCAGGACTATTCAGAAGTTGAAAGCTGAAGAAATATAAGATTTGCTATATATAAATATATAGTTCACTTGTGGGGTATATTTCGTTGGTCTCCTTCAATCAAAACTTTGATACGCAAGTAGTCTTCCCTTTATTCCCATGCCCATATCCACCAACGCCATCATTATACAAAATATAGTACATTTCATCATGAACATTAGTATACAAATCAAACCATGTCTCTTCCCAAATAATTCATCCTCTCATCGTACTCAATCTGAATCTCCGTCCGCCTCACAATTCCTTCATCCGGCCTTGAAGCTAATTCATATTCCTCGTTTTCCCCTTCCCCTTTCCTTTCATTATCAGCAGATTTTCCATTCGGACTCCTCAAGATCCCTTCCTCACTGTGTCCACTTCTACCACTCCAACTCGTAACTGTCTTAAGATTCGGAGATTGCGTATGAATAGTACCCCCCAGAGTTAATTCATTCGACTGATGACTCGCAGTTAGGTCACTCCCACCACGAGGAGTTCTCTTAAATCCACCCCAAGAGCCCGATCGTGGGCCTCCAGGTTCAGTATCTGAGTCATGTTCGCTCGAGAAACCAAGGATTTTCCAGCTGCGAAGAAGAGGACGGAGAGTGGCGGTTGATGCAGCGATTATGCCGAGGGCAATCTCAATCGTGGACCAGATGAAAACGGGAGTGATAGAATCTTTTTGTGGGATATGAGATGTTAGTTGATGAAGTAAACTTAAGTGTGTATTGCTAGACTGAATGAAAACGCTAGCAAGGAGCAACTTACACAATGCATCTGTAACATTCAGAAAAGCCACCAGATACTTAACACGAATGATCGTAGCAGCACTTGCACTATTAAGACAAAGCTTCATGTCAGTTTCCTTCAAATAATAAAGACGACGATTTGTTTCCTTACACGATTCCCAAACTCAGAATAACCATAATAGAGCACTTTAAACGAAGACTCATCTTGATGTCCCACAATATTGGTATTGGCAACAAGGCAAAAAGCCAATCAAAGAAAATCGTCTCGGCTGAGATGGCATATGCGAAATTCGCAATGATACGGGGTTCGAGACAAACTCCTGGAGTTAATGGATCCCATGACGCTTTTAATGGTCTGCACTGCACACAACTAATAACAAATGTTACAATTGTCCAAATCCATATTATCGCAAGACTGATCCAGATGACATATTTGTAAAAGGTTTTGACAGAAGTGATGCGAAGGAGGAGCAACCCGACGCTCGTTTTTATTATGGCTGTGCAAAGAATATAGCCGATTTCGACGAGAACTTGGTACTGAGTGTGTTAAAATCTTTCTTCGAATTGTAAATTAACACAGGATGTGACTGGGAATGTATACCTTTGCAGCATTGATCAACTGATCATAAGTAAGTTGAGCGGCATGTACTCCAATTCCATAATATATACCAATGTATGCAAAAATTGAATCGACAGTATACGCAACCTGTAAGTTCGATTAGCTAAAACTTTTTTGAGATTCGAACGCCATCATTATATCTTTGGATCCACTCACCAATCCAACGATAATCCAATAATCATCACTTCCAAAGGTCCTCGAAACGACTGTCCTCGTATAACATCGCAATCCAACACTCAACCAAGAAAAGAACAGTCCTACGCTTATCACGGTCAGAATCTGGATTTGTCGGCCCTCCATGATATTAAACAACCTCTTCGTAGTGAGTAGCTATTCAGACATTGAAAAGATCAATCATGATAAGATACAGGTGCAGAATTTTCTTTCATGTACAAATTTAAGATTTAGACCCAAGCAGTTCCACAAATATGAGGGGATGGAAGGCTCGACTGCACGTTCGACTTCCGCACTCAGATTGTTTTGGCATATTGAGCACTCGAGGGGATTCGACGATCCGTTCAGAGACACCATACCGTATGAGCTCTGATGTCAAGTTGGGGAAGCTAAACGGTATGTATGGATGCGAGAATTAGCAAAGTGAATACTTTGAAGAGGGGTTTAGATCCATTTTTTGCTTAATTTCCGTCGAAATTCCCGAGATTGGTGCGGAACGGAGGCAAACTAGAGCTGATTGGAGTAAATACAAAAAGACTCATTATCAGTTTATTGACTTTGTACTGGTAGTGACGGTAATTGTGATGATATGCTCGGTTATGCAAGGGGAAGAATTCTATAAGACTTGCATCCTGAAAATAGGTAAGAAAGGGACCTCGGCTTGGCATGGAGTGATGCAATAAAAATTCCCCGAGGAAAAAGATCAATCAATTGACATGCATACTTTACACTTGCTCGATTTGCGACCCGCTTAGACTTTGAAGTTTGAGCCCTCGGCATCTAGTTCTTGACAACGAATTAAACGACAATCCAGGCATAATCCTAGTGGCTGATCTGTGGATCACGAAACCCAATGCCGGGTCAAGACTCAAAAGCATCGGAAGGAACGTCTCGCCTCTCCAGACTGTTTAAATTTAAGAGTTTCACCCTCTTGGCAGCCAGTGCCTTTACGATTGGCGAGACTGTTGTTCCTAAGGAATTCGACTCCGGTGGACCACAGACGAGCCACAGCCTGCTTTATCGTATCTAACCCCAGATTTTCTGGTAAAATCATTCTGTGAACGACCCGGGAAGACCCTAAATACCAAGAGACTGGATCTATAAAGTTTGTACGGATATTTCCAAAGGGTTCCTTCCGTGGTAGAATCAGCTACATAGTTAGGTGGTGTTTTAAGAGATCGTCTCTCGTATTATCCGGATACAACTAATAGCTCAATATTCATTCTCCGTAGTAGAGCTCTAGAATCAATATATCTTCTGTACCCAACGCAGTGATACACTAAATTGACTTAGGTAAGTCCATGACGAATAGATCGTGAATAAGCATACATAGACACGTAATATAATTCAGGCAACCACAAATGGAAAAAGTAGGGTTCATTACCGACCCGTAATGCTCAGACCGAGCAATTGACAGCTCCTTTGTCATCGCTTCATACCTAGGTATATATATACAGCTAGCAATCTAATAGTTGACGATCGAGAAATATATAATTCGAAAAGAATACTGTGCGTTCCATAATAATATGACAAATAGACATCTATTCTCCGAAATACGAGTGCTGGACCGAAAGCTCTCAACGTTTTGGAGATTTACCGAGCGCTAGATGAGCAACCAGCTCAAGACCTCATCGTCTAGAGCAAACCCAAGAAAGAAGCGCACGTAACACGTGGCTATAATCATCAAAGCCCCCTCCGCCCATGACTCAACGTCATTTTTCGAAAATCAGATGTATCAAACGCCCAAGTTCAGACCAAACATTGCTCTGTGCAGTAACACGTACAGAACATATCGATAAGATCGAACAAAAGCAATGTTTCAATGAGACTTTATCTGAAACATCTATTACTTCCTACCCCCTTACTGTTACTTCAATATTGTCCTTAGGTAAGGGTTAGACATGTTGTGTATCGGTGTTGTCAAAAAGCAATCGCATGTCGAACCTCGATGTCGGAACTCCAGATTAGAATTATGAATCGAGGTCTATTCTAGCTAGGAAGATGATACGAACTGCCGGGTCACCAAGATAAAGTAAACTAATCCATCCACATCAACTCCTCCACCTCCACTTCCACATCAATGGAACACTTTTTTAGCCTCATCCACTAATCCTCACGGAACAATTCCTTGCGATTCTTTACATCATTCAGATGATCTCTCGTTGGAACTCGTGAAATCATATTCATGAGCCTCGGTTCTCTTACTGAACACTTAATTGGTCATCTGATGATACGATACAGAAACTGTAAGGCGATGATGTCCTTTACAATAACAAGACTTTCAAGCTCCGGAAATTGCTCGCACTTCATGTTAAACGTCGAATGATTAAATGTTACTTTCTATTAATACTATTTACTAATGTATGATATGATTGATTAAATCAATCAAAGATATCTATTGATTCTATGTGGCCAATTCATCCAAGCACCAAGCTAGATGTCGAGCCATTTTGACATGCCAGGTAGACCCTTCCGACCTGTATTCCCATGATGCGCACTTGTATATGTAGCACTTCCTGATTCAATAATCCATCCCAGTGAAATAAGTCCAGCAAAAAGTAACATCCAATGGAATGAATGTTCAGGTATCTCAAATGATAAAAATGTAATTCCTTCCCATCCCAAACCGCCATTGAACACACTTCAGAAGCCAAGCAAACGCCACAAGCAAACTCCTCTCCAGAATTATGTTGGAGGGGTTGGACCTAATTATCCCACTCGCCTTCATCGTTACGCTCAACAGAAGCTCCCTTTCCGGAAATGAAACTCGCTCCTTTTGGTTTACCTCGTCCTCTTGAGACTGAACTGGACCTGGCTCGCTTCTTTCGCCCTCCTAAGGCACCATTGGAACCAGCCTTTCTCTTACGGCCTCTTCCGCTGCCACCCGGCGGGCCTGGTGTCCCATCCTCGTCATCACTTGGCGTACTCATTCTGCCTCTCTCATCAATCTCATCATTTTCTGCTGAGACCTTGAAGTCGTGATCTACATTGAGTAGTTCCACAAAGGCCCGACATTGCGCTTCCATTTTGTCCTCGGACTCGCAACTAGTCATTCTACCACAAACTTCGCTCCAGAATTTATCTCCAGAGACGCTTGTCACCTTTACCGGAGCCCGACTGAGATCTTTGATTGCACCTTTAACTTTTCCATCTCTATTCATCAATCCAAACTGACGACGAAGATATGTACGAGCCTCCCACAGATTCGTAAGCATGATTGAGATTGCAGTGAGCTGTTGTAGGCGCACTAAATCTCGCTTTGGTACGTCTGGATGAATATGACCATTTGCATCGGTTTCATTTGCTGGTTGGTCGAGGCTAATATGAAGGACCTCTGTCTCAATCGCATGAGCAATACCCGTACCTGTACCCGCGACCAATTTCTCCATCGAGTCGATAGTTGACAGTAATTCATCCACGGTTTGATATTCGAAGAAAGCTAGATTCTCGATGATAAATTGCGCGAAATCCAAATGATGTGGTAGATCTTCAATGGCGTCGAGTTTTGCCGGGTCAAAATTAATTCGCGAGCATAGGCTATCGAACAATTTCTTTCGGTTCTTGACCTTGCTAATTTTCATGACTTCAATCATCATCCAGAGTTTCGAAGTGAAAGGATTAAGTGTAGCACCATGAGTGTCCTTGACTACATCTCTCTGGTATGCGTACGCCGCCAAAACAGCTCGCATATATTCCTTCTCGAGAATCGTCTCATGCTTCTCATGAAGAGCCCTGTGCTCCCTGAATGCAATGTCAGCAATTTTGCTGGTAGGTGAAGTTTCTAGGGCGATAAGAGTGCAAGCAGTTTCCTTGGGATGAACAAGACCTTGTCTATTGATGCTTGCCACAACCTCTGCAGCAAGAAGTGCTTCCTTGTCTTGGCTACCAAGCGCGATGCGAGCAATATCTTTTAAGAATCTCTGTGCGATGTCCAATGCAACACCGTCACCTTGACTACCGCCCATGACACCCAATTTTGCCTTTGAATCTGTGCCAGTGCCGACAGCACCATCGCCACTTTCTTCTGATCGCTTTTCCTCAATCGAAAGATATTCTTTGAAGGCTCTCATCACGATCGTCTCCAATTCCAAATCTTGATCACTAAATACTTGGATGAACGTGGTGTAAACGTTGGCGGCGGAAAAGTTCTTCGGCCAAGATTGACAAACCATACCCATTGCATCAAGCGCATGCTTTCGAACTTCCATAGGCTGAGAAGGAGTCGCAAATGGGGCAAATGTATCAACCATCAGTTTTGAAACCGAGTTGCCTTTCATCTTCGGAAACTCCTTCTCTTTGAAAATCTCGTGCTGAGGATCAAGGTCGCAGTGCTTACCACACATGCCACAAATTAGAAGAAGTTTTGTCAATTTCTTAACAAGATCGGCTCGTTTTGGATCGTTCAGATCAATGCTTTTCATCTTCTGAATACCAGCCAAACTAGATAATACGACTCTTGTTAAGTTATGATAATCATCAAGAACACTACTAATGATCCATAAGCATGCAACAATGTCATCTAAAATAGATTTGGGACTGCGTGTCATAGTTGGTAAGAGATGCTTCCTAATCTCAGTGAGGAAACCATGTTGAACCTTGGGTAAACTAGGAAGGACATAGCGAAATATGATAACAACTGAACGATAGATAGCAGCTTCATCACCACTACCAACATTTGCAACATATGGTTGTAGTAATTGGATTTGATCAGCTGTGAATAGGTTTGCATTGGACTTGGCAAATATGGTGAGTACTTCTAGAGATTCCCGAAGATTTGGTGCATCGGAATCCTCGGAAGCGGCATTATCAATAATTGTCTCAAACATAGCAGCAACAAGTGCTTTGCAGACCTTGAAATTGGCGTCGGGGTATTTCGACTTTGGTGAAAGTAGATTTTGGAGCACTTTGTCTAACACACCAGAGGTTCCATTCTGCCTCTGAGCCGTCTTGATGATCAGGGTGACATGATCTGAAATGGCGAGTTTTGCTTGAACTGATGTATCTTCAGATCCAGTTATTTTGTAGAAAGGTAACATCCAAACTTCCTCGATTGTTGACCGAGCCAATTCTTGAACACTGTCATCAAGGTCGGTGACTCTGTATAGGATAGCATCTGCAATTGAGGCCCTGACATCTTTATTGGTGTTGTTCAAATAGATGTCTTTGAGTAGTTTCATAGCTCGTTTTCGAACACCGACACCACTATCATTGACACGGTGAAGAATACTAGGAGTCATCTCCACCTCAAGGGATGGTACCAGTGAGATGCATTTTCCAATGAGACCCAATGCCGAATCTCTTACACCGACTGAAGGATCATTTGAGCACCTCAAAATCATTTGCTTGGCGGTAGGCTCTCTTTCAAGAATGGTTGGATCTGTTTCCAGAACCTGATTAACACTCTTCAGACTCTTACTTCTGACGGTAGCTTGCTCGCTGAACATTGATCGAAGTAGAATATCAAGCACACGACTGAAAGATGTGCAGAAGGTTGAATGCAACAAGGTTACAGAGTAAGCCAAGCGGGCATGACTAGGGTCGACCGAGCCATGGCCATATTCTGTAGAAAACCATTTTTTATCTGTGATCATCATTCTAAGTCGGTATGCCACTTTACCATAGTTCTCCTCGATGCGCTCGTGATCAGGATCATTATCAAGAATGTTGTCGTATTCGTCTGCCAATTTTGAGGCCCATTCAACAATCATGAGAGAAATACTGCTTGCTAGCTGAGGATCAGCAAAGCAGCGATCTTCCATGAAATCTAGGCACATGAAGTAAGGTCCACCCCATGTCAAGATTTCATGAGTATTTGCTTCGTGTTTAAGTGATTCCTCAACCATTCTTGAAAGAGCCTGTCCCATACGTCCATCTCGATTTTCAAGCGAGGCGGCACTCTTTCGAACATGAAAGTGCAATTCCGAGATTGCTGCACCCATTGACCCAAGAAGATCAAGGGCCATGTTCTTGGCAGGAGCAGGGGTTTTTTCTGCTTCAGCCAGCTGAACCATTTTGAAGAGGAATAGGCGTAAGAGTAGTTCTGCAGCAGGCCAGTCCGGAGAGTTCAAACATGTAACAAAGTCTTCGACGAAGAGATCTAGCAGATTCCGGTATGGTGTATCGCCATTCTTCGTAGATTTAATTGCTCTACTAACAATGAAATTGACCACATATCCTGTGTTCTGTGTCGCACTTTCCAGTAGTGAAGCTCCGCAGTCTTTCAGTTCTTGGATCGCTGTGACGTTCTGCTCGATTGCTCTTCTTTCTGTATCGTATCGCCGACGATTATCAGCATCATTGATTGCATCCTCTTGACCCTCATCATCTCCGGTCAGAGCATCTTGGGCCTTTCGTCTTCGCTTCTCTTTCGCGTCGTCCGTTTTGCTGGCACTTGTCTGAATCAGCTTCATAATTAAAGCAGAGACAAGTTGAATGCTCCCCCCATCCGCCAATTTAAATTGCCGAGCACTCTGTTTGGTAACAGGAAGCTTCTCCAAGGATGTCAGAATTTCATTGAAGATTTCTGCTCTTTCTTTTGGGTTGTTGTTAAATACTTGTGCAAGTACATCCATGGCTATGACTCTAAGATTGTCGAATTTAGAGATACCAAGTACGGAGTCTTTCTCTGCATGAGCATTCTCAACAAATATCAATTTAGAAGCTGCATACTCAAGACTGTTGATGACCGTTTCAGATAGATCAATATTGGCCACGAGAACCGCCATGAGGGACAAAAGGCGTCTGCATTGAGCCAGTAAATTAAGAATAGCTTTCTTCTGGGCAGAAAGCAGCTTGAACAATGCTGAAGTCGACCCCGTGCTGCGAAGTTCCACAATCGGAATTATGAAATTCTCCATGATGTTTTTAAATGCATTCAAAGCGGATTGAATTAGGTCTTCTGAGTACAGCTGCTTCTCGTCACGCCCGCCAGTCATAACTCTGAGCGAGGTGCGAGCAGATTTGAGTCCAAGTTCTGCATTCGAAATCTGTAAAAAACAGACTTTCGACATCTGACTCTCCCATTTCCTCGTCGATCTTCAAGTCGAGTGTCTCGGCTTCTTTTAAAGCAGCTTCAGACAATTTTTGAATTCGAATCAAGTCTTCCAAGGGAACCTGTTTGATTCTGCCAACTTCAATAATTCTGTTTAAGAGGCCCTCGAGTCGCGTTTGAGTATTAGCAGCAAGGCCGATTCCCTCGTTCGTCGAAATGAGGAAATTGTTAGAGATATTAGTTTCAGGCTGGAATTGATTTTCGGCTTCGAAAACATCTTGAAGATATTCTCGGAGGTTTCGCGCGGCAATATCGGCCTTCTCTCTTTGGTCGACCACTCCAGAGACATTCCCTTCATATTCATCGGAGCCCGCTCGTCTTCGGTTCTTGGCAGGACTTTCAGGCGAGTCTGGAAGAGGTTCTACAACCTTGTATTCTTCTGGCTTTATCTGTGATTGCGGAATGACAACGGAAATGCCTGGTTGTGAGGAAGAAGGCGGAATATTCTGACTCTGCTTGCCATCCTGAAAAAGCGGCTGGTGCAACCTGAGGAGGAACCAATGATTGAATATGCGATATTTTGGGACTGATCTTCATGACATGTGAATTTGGCGCAGGGCTTGGACTTTGCTTGTGAAAAGGCGCAAGTGCCTTTGGCAAAGGAATTTCGACCGCGATTTGCGACTTTGCTTTAGGCACGACATTCGCATGTTCAGCAGCAGGCTTCGTAGTAGTGGCTTCAGGAAATATAGTAGCGTTTGTATTCGCAGTATGGGCCTGCAAATTCGTATTCCCATAGCTGCTACTTGGATTTCTCGACTTCGACTGCGACTTAGTTCTCTGCTTCTGCATTCTATGCCTCATGGCTGGCACTTCTAGACGCTCTGCAATCTTATACTCCACCTTAGTTGAGTCGTATAGCATCTGCGCAAAGGGTGAAAGATTGGGTTTCAATGGAGTAGCATCAGGAAGTGATGCGATCTTTGGTCCGATCTTGAAGTTACTTTTTTGAACGTCAGTCTGATCGAATTGTTTGCTGGATTTTGAACTTACTAAATTGTATGATCTTCTGGTTTAAGTAACTGTTCGAGGTCTTTCAGAGTTCGTTGCAGGCGCTGCGAGGTCTGATATGGGTTCGTTGCTTCGACGTTCAAGCTTTCTAGACTTCCTCTGCCTTGTTGAATTTCTGCTGCATTGAAAATAATGAAGAGGAAGAACCAAGTCCTATTGTAGGTAACGGGATAATATCTGTAAATTTAGAGTTGTTAGGAAAACTGATAATAGTGATTGGGGATAGGATAGGTTTGAAAGCGAAGAGAAGGCAAAGTACCAGAATTGAAGGGAACGACAGAGGAAAAAGGTGAATATGGAAGAGCTTCGTCGACGGTGAATGGTCGTGGCCTCATTTGACGGGTTTCACTTGTGGAAGACGCGACATCTGTCCCATTATGGCCATTCTGGTAGTTATAACCATAACCATAGCCATATCCGTTACTTGAATCCATGGTGAACTTGTTCGGCGTAGTGAGGCGTGGATGGGCGCAAGGCCGGAAGGCTCGTAGAGATGTGATGAGAAATTGAAGATCCAATAGAATTAATTTACAAGATCATATCGTTGTACAATCTAAAGTCGTTATCCGCAAGACATACTGTTTCCCTTGAAGCATAATAAAGGTTGTCGACGAACGACCAATTCGACTTCACCATTGAATAATATTATTAGTAGCCGTCCGTTGCAGCTTATGTAGGCAGCCTTGCGCTAAAGATCTGAATTGGATAGGCCGTCACTAGCGGCTTTTTTTTCATTTCGACTTTGGGCCTTGCATGCATACCTTGCAGATATAGAAATTTATTTTGAGGAGCGCCAAAAAAACAACAAAACACCAAACTCTTCAAAACTTGACAATCAAACAGAACTTCAAGATGTCTGCAGTTGGATCTCTAGTATTTTGTACGGATTGTGGCAATCTGTTGGAAAGTTCTACTGGTAACAAGAATACCATTTTGACATGCGATTGCTGTGGAGCAGAAAATAAAGGTACGCGCAACATGTTTCCCACCATGGTCAGAGTGAATAGTACTGATCAAACTTTATTTCTAGATACTGCTTCACAAACAATCGAGACGAGAACGAAAGAAGCATCCTTCCCCTCAGTATTGCGTCAAAAAAGATCAGTCGTTCAAACGGTAGAGAAGTCTGATTATGAGAATCAAGCAATGAGTAAAACGCCATGCCCAGAATGCGGCGCAAAGGAGGTCAGATTCACCGCAGTACAATTGAGAAGTGCGGATGAAGGAAGTACCATTTTCTACAACTGTACCTGTGGAAACAAGTAAGTTTGCTTTCTATTGATACAGTTGTTTCTGCCCTACTGACATGTACTAGGTGGACCGAGAACAATTAATTTGCTACGGACGACGCATAGACATATTACATCACGATTCACGAATTGTATATCATTTGGTATGGGAGACTTTGTATTTGGTGTTTGGTAGGAAGAAATTGTGATATTTTAATGGGCCAAGCACTTTGGCACCAGCCGTCTATTTTAGTAGATTAAATACGACGAGTTTATTTGGGAAAAATAAAAAGACTTATGCGGCTGCGACAGCTTCCTTCTATGGGATCAGCGCATACTCGGTCTCTCCGCTCTGCTCGAACTCCGCCATATCCAACGCAAGGATGACACTATCTCTCACAACTGAATCCTTATCGTTCAAGAACTTTTTAAGTGTATCCTCGACGCCTTCCTCGTCACCTAAGCTTCCCAAAGCCTCGGCCGCTTCATGTCTGACCATACTGACTTCCTCCAAATTACTCAAAGAATCAGTAAGGGCAGGAATGGATGCTGGATGAGACAGTTGTCCGAAAACGAAAGCAATTTCGTGTCTGAAAAGTGCAGATTTGTCATGGAGACCTTTAGCCAAGGCAAGAACAGCAGGGACGGCGGTAGGAAGATCCGGGGGTGATGCAAGATCTCGGAGACCAAACATGGCTCTGTATCGGATGAATAGAGGAACTTTGGTATTCAAAAAGGTTTCCTCAAGTTTCTCGACTGATAGTGATTCTGAGTTCTCTTCTGCGGTTGGTGGAGCAGGGTCAATAGATGCGAAGTCCCTATAGTTAAAGATCTTGTCAGTAATGCAATGCCAAAAGAATCCGAAGCAAGTTAGGAAAGAACTCTCTCAAGCATTTGAAGATCGGAGCGTATCGCTACACTACCTCTGCTATGTGCATGTCCTTCTGAAACATATGAAAGGTTCACTCACGATTGTCGTAGTTTTCCTGCTTTGCCAGCGTCCGAATGTGCCCACTCGATGTTCTCAACACTCAATTCGCACGTTTCCCTAACCTCAACCGGCTCATTGGGATCATCCCTCCTCTCTTTGAGCAACTGCAGACAATCCCTATCTGCCAAAGCACCCAGAGCCTCAGCAGCCTCATGTCTAACCATACTGTCTTCCTCTCGATTCTCCAATACCCCTCTCAAGAATTTGGAACTCTCAAGATTCCTGGTCTGGCCCAAGCAATAGGCAAGCTCATGTTTCAAGAGCGCGGATGGAGAGGCAAATGCAGCTGCAATGGCTTCGATGGCGGGAACATTTAAGGGTGAAGATGGCATACATGCGAAATGTTTAAGGGAAAAGAGGGCGCGGAATCGGAGACCGATAGGTTGGGCTTCTGAGCAAAGGGTTTTGCGCAAACTGAGGATGGTAGCGGTTGTAGTAGTCTCCTCTGGAGCAGGAGATGTTGCTGATGGAGCCATTTCGATATGTTTCTTGAATATGATCCTAAATGGTGTTGTGATAAGAATGCGGTGGTCTTTGAAGAAATAGACAGTTGGGAGAAATAAATTATGAAATGATCGACTTGAGGCGCATGCGAAATCAAAAATACAAAGAGTGCCGGCACTAAAAGATGCGAGAAAAAATAGTGGCCGATTCGCGGGGTCTATCTAGATTACGTAATATGACACATGCATCTGCACCTGCTAGGTTTGTAAAAGTGGACCTCCACACTAGAAGGAAAAACTCAACATCTCCACAATGCGCGAAAGGTAGAGAGACAGAACAGCTGGAGACACACACAATTGAGAAAAATATCAAAACGGCAAAAAAAGCAAAAATTAAACCCGCGGTTGTACTTCAGGATTGAACTGAAGTAGCAAACAACCTTCGTGTGAGAAGGTCGTAATAGGAATCGAACCAATATCTCCGGAATCAGAATCCGACGTGCTAACCATTACACCATACAACCAGAATTGGGGGTTCTTGTGATAGACGGGTCGTCGGATGTGGTTATATGAAGTAATCAAAAGCAAAATCGTAAAGCATACATAATAAACTATACATCAAAATAGACTCTCATCTCTATTTCAAATATCAGATTTCATTTCGAATATTAAATAATATCTGGTTGTTGTGCTCGAGTCTGATTACTAATAGTTTCTAATTATCTTGTTTGATTTTGAATATTCATAATATCTAATTGTTCAATTCAAAGTAGGTTACTGAAAGTACCAAAATTCTTAAGCTAAAGACAAGAGAGACTCTTAAGGATATATCGATCACTTTAGTTAATCACTTTATAGCTCATTCTTCTAGAAGATTCTTCATTTACTACCAAAATATATCCATTATGTGAAATTCCAAATCTCCTAATATCAATATGGATACAGTAGTATTACCGGCGAAAGATCCAAGGATCTCCAAAGGCGATAAGCAATCACTCTCTAGTAAAGATGTTAGAGTATTTATTAGAGATGTGGTTATGGATTTCGATTACGGTTCTTTATCTAGTTGTATTACAGTTTGCAATTCCTGTGAGTAAAAGGAGATTTGTTTATTGAGGAGATGTAGAATGTTGTTATCGAGGTTCAAAGTTTGTGGCTAGAGGTGGATGAGATTAGAGGGGAAGCTGTAAGGTAAATGCAGAGAGATCTTGTTGATCTCCAAGCTGAGCTAGAATATCAATTGCTTAGAGTAGAACGAGGTGAATGATACGGTGATGTCAAGTAAAAATGATTCCTCAGAGGCCATGTAACATACAAATCAAGTGGAGGAAATCGTTCTCATAGGTATCTATCTCGAATATTAGGGATGCGAAGACTCAACACCTGTACACAATACATCCTACAAACCTTTAGCTCTCTTTTAAGAGTCTGTAGAGCTAAGATTGAGTTGCAGATAGAATTGGAAAAATTAAAAGGAGAAAGGTGTTAGAGATATAGCGAAGGATTATATTATGATTTTATAATAATAATATCTACAAAAAGTTGAATACTAGCTTTAGATACAGATATAAAGGTTACAAAAACCCCAATCAAATTCAATATCTACTATTGATTATTACTTTACAGAAATAAAATATATAGTAGATCTCTTCTCTTTAAAAGAGTCTTTTCGATATAAAGCTTGCCATTACTTTATTTATACTATAATCTGTCACGGGGTGACACTAAGCCCTTTCTGTCCTGTCCTGTCCTGCTATATATGTGAGAGTAAGGTAGAACTTCCAGTTCTACCTCCTAGTCTTTTGGGCGTTTAGCTCAGCGGTAAAGCTTCTGAATACTCCCAGAGGTGATCCCGTGACATATTGGAATACTTTAATTAAATTAGGAATAGAAGAAGAGTAAGGAAGGAAGTATTTCAAAGGATGAAGACTATTTAATCTTTATTTGTATATAGAGATCGGGTATAATACCCCAGTATTCATTTTTTACTCCCCCAAATTGAATATATCTACTATAAATATCCACTAGCAATTATTAGGTTCTTAAAACCTAGCCATTCTAAATAGTTTTGGACTGAGAAAAGGACGTCAATTAAATCAATCAATCAATCTTTGATTTGATTTTGATTTGATTTCATTTATGTCCACCTTCAGTCTAAGACTATATAGAACAGCTAGACCTCTAAAGGCTCTAACGGATAACTTTTTATTCTACAAAAATGGATATATATGATTTAGGGAAGTGAAAACAAATACTGGGAAACAATGCCTACTCATTATACATATTATATATAATAAGAAAATTATGAAAATCAAGAAATTGTAAGGAAATCAAAGTCTTCTTTTATTTCCCTAATTACTTTTTCTTTATTCTCTTCTCTTCTTTCCTTTTTTACTATTATTCCTTTTTCTATCTTGTTTTATATAAAAGCCCTAACCAAATATTATACTCTTATAGTGATTTTAATAATATTAATAAATTTAATAGCTAATTCAATACTTACTTTTGTATAAAGTAGAAACTATATAATAATCTTAGATAATGATATATTCTTGAATATTTCTTTTCTTTTTGCTTTGTATATAGAATAACTAATAAGGAGGTGTTGTAAAGTCTCAATATTATTATATATATATTTGTTATTAGAGAGTTTGAATTGATGTAAATAAGATTTGATATATCTATGATCTAATTTGAGTTGAAAATATATACTAGTAATGTTTTGCTTGATTTCACTTGATAGCTTGATTTTCGATTCTATCTTTTATGGAAATAGCTTTGAATAGATTAAAGAGGATTGATTTGATCTGAGTTTGTATTGATTGAAAGTAGAAAGTTATTGATTTAAATTGTATTTTTTGATTATTATATTTAGAAATCCAAAATTTGTTTTATTTGAGATAGAATGTATTGTGATTGTTTTCTTTGTTAGTTTATTTGCTAGCTCATTTTCTTTTACTAAAGTATGTCCTGAAACCTAATTTAGAGATACTTCAGCTTCTTTTGCTTTAATGATTTCCGCTACTTTAATTACTCAAATCTGATAGGCTTGTTCAGGGTAATCTAATAGTATTTTTAAACGATATAGATTAGCTTAGTTATTTGAATATATCTTGAATTTGTTATTAATATAGATAATTGTGCTAGTATATTCAATAGCTTTAATAACCCTATAAAGCTCTCCATTATATACTAGTTGATTATTATCAATATTCAATTATTGTTGATATAAAATTCGATTATTTAATTATATTACAATTATACCTATATTTATATCTATTTCTTTTTCAATAGAAGAGGTATCAATATAAATGTAGATAATATCCTTATATCACGGGGCAGGCGGGCGGGATAGGGTTCTAATAACTTTGCCCTAATCTGACAAGGTTATACTGATTCGGGTAATAGGTTCAGATTGAGGATTAAGACATAGTTCAAAGAGCTATGATACAGAATCTTCCAAGTTGAAGATATACAGGATTTTGTTAAGCGAGCTAATCCGATCGGGCTCTAGCTCACTTGTACTTCAGTGTGAGTACTTAATTCAATCCCCTTCAAGGGACTAATATGTTATATAATCTTACACTATAATATTACCCCCTTCTTAAAAGCCGAGCTCTATTAAGGTGAAGATATTATGATTCGATTTTCCGGAGATGGGTAGTATTCGA